TAGATTCTGCAAAACGCTTAAAAAAACATGAGACATGCTATCGCAAATCCTGACATTGTGACGAACGTCTGAGTGCGTTTGCCGTTGTTGCCTCAGCATTATGATGCGTCTAGGTAGCTCACTCACGCTGAAGCACGTCGGATGCTCTAAAATTTGAGCAGTAAGAAGTTTTTCCGCAAAAGTTATGCTTTACATAGAAATCAATAGACTTGGAAAACCAATGTCACTATACTAAATATTCATCAATGTCTTTATCCTTCAGTCACTAATCACGTATAAAATTTAATCAGATAATCAAACATTGCCGCATGTTCAAGAGACTATCAGAGCGTTTCCCTGCGGCGGCCACGCGGCTAGAAGCTTACACTGCCGCTGGTTCCGATGTTTCTGCTATTTCTGTAAATCCAGAAGCTAATCCTGATTCTAACGCCGAAATCGCCAACTCACAAGATTTAAACGCTGATACGGCTCCAGGTCCATTACCCACACTTTTCGGAGAGGAAAGCAGGTCACTACAGAGTGATGATCCCTCGCCAGCAATCTCAAAGACTTCGTTAACCGAGCGTTTTAATTCTGAGACCATGTCTGCGGCTGCATTTACGATGATGGGGTTCATGCAGAAGGCCAAAGAGGTAGCTACCACAGCAGCTAAAGAAGGCGCTGATAAGGCGCGCAAGGTTTTGGACGCTGCTGATATGGATGCACTGCAGCGCCGACTTAGTTATGCACTTGATCGGTCTACTGGAGAAGTAAATTTGGAGCTTTTAAACTTCTCGTACATTAGTGACAATCTCGTTGCTATGGGTTTTCCCAGTATGAATTCGGGTACAAATCGTACGCTACTAAAGGATAATCCGATTGATCTTGTAGCCATGTACCTTAACGACAAGCATAATGGTCATTATATGATCTGGAATATGAGTGAAGAGACGTACGACTACACATACTTTGACAACCAGGTGTTAGAATACAATTTTCCTGGTCATCCGGCGCCACCATTGGGTTTAATTTTTAAAATTTGTTCCTCAATTGAAAATTGGCTTCAAGCCGATGATAAGAATCTTGCAGCCGTGCATTGCTTGACTGGAAAAGGGCGAACGGGTACCGTCATTGCGTGCTACTTGGCGTGGATCGGGCAGTTTCCGAATGCCTTGGAGAGTTTGGAGTTTGTCGCTGAAAAGCGGCAAACGTCGGTCGAGAAACTCACGATTCCATCGCAGCGTCGGTAAGTGATATGAAGAGGTGAAAGAAATTTGAAATGATCAAAAGATGATTGTATTTTGTGATATAGATATATTCAGTATTTCAATAACGTCATGGAAGGTGTCAAGCCTCGGTCATCACCATTACTGCTGCGTCGAGTAATTATAAATACAATTCCTGTATTTGGAGAGCGACGAGTTTTAGAGCCGGCAAAAAAGGAGTTGATAGAGGAAGACAGATCAGAGACGGTTGGTGTCGAGGGCGAGTCGTTGACGTCTCTTGCTGCTCCAGGTGGCACGGAAACTGAGCAGGGAGAATTGGTAGAGGTCATTGAAAAAGGCTGCTGTCCGTATCTGCAAGTTTTCAAAAGTGGAAAGTTGGTGTTTACAACTACGTGGCAAGATATGGAAGATGGACATGGAATTCAGTGGGCAAGTACAGGTGATGGTTCCCTATCGTTCAATGTGAATTGTATGCTGCAGGGAGACATATTGATCCGTTGCCGCCATTTGACGGATGCTGGTCAGCGTATTTCGATGTTTCGTGGCGCATTCCATACGGGCTACATTCCGCAAGGCATTCTGAGGTAAATATCTTTACTTCTTCGGCGACGTGCTGTGTCTTGTTGAGCTCACCTAGAAATATGATCGTAGACTGACTAAGGCTCAGCTCGATGGGGCTTGCAATGATTCCCGCTTCGACCAGGATTTTTTTGTCGATTTAATCTTTGCAGACGTTGAAAGCGAAGAAATGTCTTTGGCTAATCACGCGAATGGTAATATTTTGGATTCAAGGATGTCAATAGCTTGTTTTGACTCCGTTATGTTTTATTGGGTAGACGACAAATCCGGCACAACTCCTAAAAGCGAGGGTGTATCTCTAACCGAAGAAGATCGCCAAGCCTACGAAGACATGCTCCAACGAGATGAAGTCTTTTGGCAAGATATTGAAGAAAGGAAAAAGAGACTTCAAAAGCAACGCGAAGAGCTTTTAAATAAGAAGATGGAAGCAGAAGCAGCATCTATTGCTGAAGCAAAGACGAAAGCTGAGGCAGCAGCTGAGGAAGCAAATATGGTGCAGTCAGAGCGAAAACAGACCTCATTCAGTATTAGTGGAATAGATGAAGACATAGTCAATGTGCAGAAGACTACTCGTAAGGGCAGCTGGGATGCGGAAAAGGACAAAGAGTTGATGAGCGAGCTCGAGTCGCTCACCGATCGGGACCTGACTAACGCTGCCAAAGATGTAGAGGAGGCAAAGACTCGCGAAGTAGCAACTTTTGCGAGCGAAGAGGGTGATTCTAATTTGTCGAAAGATTATGACGAAATTCAGAAACTCGAGAAGGAGCTGGCGAGTCTTTCCGATAGCAAGATTGATCCTCAGTTGGAGTTACTTGATGCTGAGCTTAAAGGTCTTGAGGACCTGTCCCCTCTAGTTGGTGACGAGACTGACGACGTTATGAATTTCGGGGCTGATGACTTCGAAGAGCTTGAAGAGTACTTGAGTGGTTTATCAACCAAGTGATTAAATATTATTCAACTTTTTCGCTTTGTAATGCAATAAAAAAATAGGGTAAACTCATTGTTATTCAAAGCCAAAGATTACTGACTTCGAAGAGCGAGGTTTCTAGCCAACAAATATATTTTGTTCACACCTCCAAATATATAGTCGTATAGACAATTGAGTTTGTGTTCAATACGCCTTTGACTGCAACCTCATACCAAGCGCTGTTTGGTATGATGTTCACTCTGCTACTTTTCGAGACTTTGCTGCCAATCCTCTGGTCTCTCGTTGTCTTCCATCTGAATGTCTATCGTATCGTCGTTAATGCATCGTTCGAGTTATAGTTTTCTTTTAGAGAAAACATTCAGCGAGATATTATGAGAGATCATTTCAAATTATTAAATCGTGTTCAGCTGTTATATCTCGATTACTACGTCATGATTTCTGCATTTCGCGACATTATAAAATCGGATCCCGAACATCGGAATCTTGTCATTGTTAAAGTCATTAAGCATTACTACTATAATATTCGGTACGAGTTTTCCGATCAGGCAACGTTTTGTCACAAAGACTATACCTGAAGAAATTCTAATGAGTGCGGCTGTCGTCGCTAGCGAAAGATGTGGACTGGACAGGAGACATGAGCTTCTAGTATTTTGGAGCAGATCAGATACCGCAATGCTGAAGACGACCCTCTAGCTGTGTGCATATCCTCGATACCGATATTAATGCTGTACAATACTTCACTATCAGCAATAACTGCAATAATGAAACCTGACGTTTCCACTTCTTGAGCCAAAAAATTGTGTATGTTCTTGTACACATCGAAAGGAGCTGTAGATTTTGTCGACTCCGTACTTCGTCTGTAGTACCCAGTGCCATATCTACGCGAACAGGTTGCAAGTCACCATCTCTGCGATGCAATATTGGCCTTTATCATCTGACTTCTGCATGAAGGAAGGTACTAGAACACGTCATTTCAGTTTCTGCCCACGCTTATGCAGAAGACCCCCGACGCTATTTATGCGTACATGAGGCCAGTCACTAGGGTTAGCTGTGGCTGCTGAAAACAGTTGGGCTGTGCTTACATGAATAGCATTTTTGAATCATATGATCGCCAAACGCAATTGCAACATGGTCCGGCTCAGTTGTACAAACAAAAAGTGTTCCTCACCATGCTTCGTGTTGTTACAAGATGAATAATATGTGAATCTCAATGTTTTGTTGAATAAAATACTGGAGTGAGTTATCTCATAGAGCAAATAAAGTACAGAGACATTGCACTAATTAGACTTTGGACATGGCCGTTGTAGCTTGTTTCTGATAGCTCAAAATGAAACTGAATCCTGATTATCCATACGGATCAAGGATCCACTTGCCGCGTGTTTAACAGCGCTTTCTTCTGTCATATCAGCAAGATTATATTTATCCTGTAATATCTATCCTGTAAAACTCTGTGAAGCTAAGTGAGAGTGAGCCAAAGCTAACCCGACGATAAACAATTTTACATCCAATGTAAAAGTACATGCCCGAGCATATCACAACGGGTGGAAGATGAGCAATGAAAGGTTATCTAGTCAGCAAAGTTGATTATCCATATAGAAGAGAATAATATCAATTCTGACACCAAGATGTCTTGTTTGATGGATAAGCGCAAGAGATGGGGAGAAAGTTTACCAGTCTGTTATGTATCCATTCAAAGAAAAAACAAATCTCCGAGTCTCGACTATAAATCATATATATCATTTAAGTAACCGTAATGGCGCGAATGATAATCATCTTGATGGGATTGTGGAGCAGCTGCGATCGGTTATAAATCGTTTCACCTTCTTAGTGTAACTAAATTAGCATGAGGCTAGCGAACTAGTTCTGAAATTTTAGTTCCCATCTCACGATCGGACGAACGTCCATCATTGGCCGTGGATTCCTAAAAAGCAGACGAGGAAGTTTGCGTGAGAAAGTGAGGCGAGTGCTGCGTGACGTGGGGCGAATCTAGCCCTTCGCTGCTTTGCACTTTGCCCACGGCGTATGAGTCTGTGGTGTCGCTGTCTATCACGAAGACGTGGCGATTTGCAGAGACGAATGCTATTCCAGGAGCAGTTTGAACGCATCAAGGCCGTATATCCAGGCACGAGTTACGTCTGTTTGTTGGATAGTGACAGCGGAGACATGATGTGCGTCAGGTAGAGAATTAAGTCGACATAGATACGGGGATCTGATGACGATTAACTGTTGCAGAGCGCAGTCCGAGATTACTGAGGTGAATACGGACGAGATTACTCGCACGATCATTAATCTTAAGAATGCTGCATTGCACTTTGGTACGCAATATTATGAAATGACGATAAGGCAAGTAAAGTAAGGAATACGTTGATTGTTTTGGAATGTAGCGGCGACATTGAATCAGATTGATCCACAGGTTGTTCATGTAAGAGGCGCACAGGGCATGTTCTCCTGTTATGGCTCTGCTCACATGGTGAGTGTAAAGGCGATTATCTTTTTTACAGACATAGGTTGAACGTATGTGAAGATTTTGGCCTTTTATAGTGAAATGCCTGGCGTTGATTTGGAACTCTTCGACTGTTTTGAAGCTGACAAAAGTATCGAGCCGATCACTGGAGAGCTGCATCGAATACTAGACGCTCAGTCTAGTGCCTAGTCGTTATAATCGAAGGCGTTTGGTGAGTTGACGTGCAGAACATTGTCGATCATATCGAAATGAGTTTCAAGACTTGAAAAAGCTTCTTAGGCCAAAAAACGATTAAGTCTCAGAAATATATTTAAGAGGGAGAACACGCTAGCGCTCCCCATGGTTGTATCTCAATCTAATGCGTTGAAGATTTCTAGAATCGCTCATTCATCCTACTTGCTACATTACGCATCTTGTTGTACACCTTGCCAGGCGGGGCGCCCATGATAAGTGAGCAGATTGCATCCCGTGCGAGTTTAATGTTAGCAAACGAGCCGAGGATGTGAATTTTTTGATCGGCGAGCACAATTCGTGTACGAGTGGCATTTTCCACTGCATACTTTGTCTTGCCGTCCTGTCCTGCTACGCGACCAATGGCACGACTTAAGTGGTCACCCTTGAGCATCTTGACATCGTTGACCTCAAATGTATCAATAAAAAGATCTTCAAGACGTAGTAATGCTACAGCATCTTGTACTTCAAAGCCCATCATGTATGCCTGCACAAAATCAGCGGCTTTTTGTAATGCACCGGCGTCCGTTGTATGTGGTGAATTTTTGAGCTCAATACAGCGAGTCTTAGTGTTCATACGAATCTGTAGCTTCAAATGCTCGATTATTGGCTTCATGATATTTGGCCAGTCGTTCTTAAGTGGCGTATACCGATGAGCCGGCACCCGTACACGTCGAAAATCGTTCTTGCCACCAGATTGCTGCTGTGCGCTAAGCGCTGGAAAGTTAGGCCGCACTACGCCTTCATCCGACTCAACATCCATTTTATCAACATTCTCTTGTGCTTGCTGTGCAATTGCTTGCGCGTCGATGATCATGTCTTGGCCAGCCATTGAGTCTACCTGCATGATTGGAGATGTCTATGAGACGATTGTTCAAAAACGACTGGAGTTGACATCAGGCAATATATTGGCTTGAAGAATTATCGGTTTATGTAGATTTATACCGGTTTTATCTGGAAGTATCGTGGTGTATTCAAATATTTATCTTAAAAGCTGAGAATCGTGTCGAAATATCATGATGAAGTTTCAAGATGAGAATTCTGGAAAAATAGAGTAGTGACACCTCGAAAAATGCCCGCAACACGCCATTCTTACGCAAGACGTTTGAATAGTATCTAGGTATCATTTTAGCTAGCTGAAATTCCAAAACGAAACGATCTTGATTTTAGTGGGTGTCAATATCCAGCTATTGATTAGGCAGCTGAGGAACGGCGGGGGAACACATCCTCTGTGCGGACTCTCAAGGTTAAAGACTTTGTGTAAGGTGCGCGGATACCCCGTTGCAATTAGAAGCACTAGTCGTGACTTCGACGACCGAGTTGTAAGGGAGCTGTATCATCTCTACAGTTGGAACAGAAAGCGCTTGCAAATCCATCAAATCATGGGGTGAGGGGATTGTGCAGTTCGTGATCAAAGAATAAAAGACCCGCTCACCAGGGGGTATTCATTAGCTACTTATTGCGCTGGTGTCTTCTGAGACGTCTAAATTGAATGGCTCTCCAGAGCTCAATAGAGCGAGATAGATTCTGTTCATCGTCAAGCTTTGAAGTAAGAACGATGTAAATCTCCGCGAGAATACGAGAGGCTATGGTGGTCATGAACTCGGCCCTGCTCCTAACTGGGCAACAGCGCGATCTGGAGATCCGCCACCCATAACGATAATAAGAAATGGTGGACTGTGTGTAAATTCACGACCTATCATTATTGAGGTGTCGGCTGACACTCTTTCGGAATCACTATCTAATACAATAAGCATTGTTCTTCTCCACGCAGGTGCGGCTTTCAATGAGACATGCCACACCTACTCAAACACTTTCAAAAAGGCGATGAATGCTGCACTGAATGCGGACTTATAAAAAAACTTATCAACGAGGGTTGTATCATGGCGATGTGAGGCCCGCTTCTATGTGGAACGAATTTTTGCTCGGAGTGTTTTTTAGGGCATACCAGTACACTGTAAATTCGGGGGTTACACGTAACCAGAGTTTGACAGAGTTACACGTACACCTGTTTGAAAGGGCGGGTCACACAACATGGTGTGACCGTACATTGGTGTAGATTATACAAGCTGGAAAAATCACACAATGGTGTGGCTACACCGTAACAAGAAGCCACTACGTGGCAGGATTGCCAGTAGTAATGCATAGTAATTAGGTCTGACTATGCTAATTAGGTATTACAATGATAGTTAGGAAATCCTAAGGGTTTAGACAATGGCTGCTCTGCCGCAGCTAGAATAATTAAATACAGTTTCAATTTTCGAACGGAAGAGTTGATTTGCCTTGGTTAAGGTTTTGGAGTACTCTTGGAGGTAGCGGATAGCGATCCGCTACTCTCGTACTGGTTTTTGTAGGGAATTTAAGATCGGTGACCTTAGCTTTAGCTACCTTTAAGCAAAGAGCTACGACAGCTTCCCTGCTCAGATCACATAGGGGTTTCTTTCAATAAAACTTGAGCAATGTTTCTTTGAAGCCATTGAAACATACATTCTGGCGCACCCTCTGTATAATCAAGTTGAAAAACAGCACAATGCGGAGCAATATGCTTTGCAATAACGAGTGGACTCTGGTTGGATTTAAGCCTTAAATATGATCTGTAGCTGTATCAGCAAGCTCATGGGTACGAGGAGGAAGGATACGACAGCTTCAACTGAAGCTGAAGGCGAATACTTGTCTTATCTTTGAAATTCTTGCTTTGTACTTGATGTATCGAGCGTCTTTCTCATCTCACATCCGTTGCACTACTACCGATTTATGAGGCCGATAGCGACTTGCCGGCAGTTAGACGGCAAATACAGGCAATATGAGTATTAGCTTGCTGTGGGTGACGAGGTTTCATTTGACGCTGTGATCTGACCTACATATGTAGTGCCGTATGTCTCGAAGACTAAGTCGCACCATCTGCTTTGAGCCATATACAGTCTTGGGCAAAAGATGATATATACCGGAGGAAATGCGTTCGTATCTCTTGTTTTGGAGGGCTATGTCAAAATTTATCAAAACCACACTCCAATTAGCCGCTGGAGCGCTTAGTGCACTGTTGAACAAAAAGCGGTATTACAACAGTACATTACAGATACGCTATAATCTTACCTAAAGTAGCGATTCTGTTTCGAATAGCTTCGGGTGCTGTGAGCTAGAGGATCCAGTGGTGCAGAATTGCGAGCATGTTTGAAAAGACTCTTCTCCGCATCGGTCGCACGTTGAGACGTTTGGAGAGTGTCGATGCCGTAGATAAATTTGTTAATAGTCTATGACTAAATAAGTGATTTCGGGCGAAGACACAGAACATCAGAACCTATGTCGTGCACTCCTGACCACAGCATTCCGCATTGTGACCCCACTGGACTCCAAGAGGGAAAGCCAGTTTTTTTATTTGATGTTGGATACTGCATGGTAATTTCTACGCTGTGTTTCTTATTTAAGAGCGCTGGCTGTACAATGTATATCACACAACCATTTCATTAGGGTGATATTTTTTCATCCACGAGTCCTTTTGACTAGAAAGCCAGTGCACCGCCTAGTGTAACTAATAAATAAAAACTTGATATAATACGGAGATGTAGGCTTAATGCTCGGGACTTAGACACAAAAAATCGGCAGAAAATTGCAAAAATAATTTTTGGCTTGTAGAAGTTAAATTGCTGAAAGAAATATTTCAGAAACTAAATCTCTTCTATAGATAGCCCCAAGCTCTGGGAATGTAAAAGTCAATAAGCTGAGTATTTGAATTTTGCAGAAAAGGGTCCACCAAGCCATGTGACTGGGCCTCCCTGTATGCCACCTGCACACTGAGCTCTCCAACCGAAAAATTTGACTTCAGTGGCACAGCAATCGTTGGAATATGCTTACTTTTTCTTGTTAGCTAATCTCCTGATCTAAACTAAGGTCCAGATCGCAAACTAGGCATGGAATTAATTACCTAGATTATCAAGCAATTTTTTGACAAGGCTGAGTGCTACGACTAGATCTGTGTTCATATCGATACAGGTGCGCTACAGCGGGGCTGCCGCAGCTCTTTGCTAGGAAGAAGCTAATCTAAGGTCACCGATCTTACATACTTGACAAGGGCAAGAACGAGTGTAGCGGATCGCAATCCGCTTTTCCTAAGAGTACACCAAAACCATAACCAAGGCGAATCAACACTTCCGTTCAAAATTGAAAATATATTTAATTGTTTTATTTGCGTCAAGACCACCTATATCTAAAATTTTGGTTTTCCTGATTAAATAGTAACACCTAATTAATATGTATTACTACTGACAGTCCTGCCGCGAAGTGGCTACTTGTCACGGTGTAGCCACACCATTGTGTGATTACACCAATTTGTGTAATCTACACCTACGTATGGTCACACCATGTTGTGTGACCCGCCGTTTCATACAAGGGTACGTGTAACTCTGTCAAACTCTGGTTACGTGTAACCCCGTAACACTCCCCCATCAAAATTCTGAATACCCACAATTCACATTTGACTCTCGCATCATGCGATTTGCGTGTCTGAGACACCGTTACGTCCCAAGGTCATCTTTGAACATTCTTCGCTCGATGAGCCCTGTGTCTATGACACGAAAAACACCCAGCCTCGCTGGTTCCGAGGGCGCCCGCGAGTAAAGGCCTTCTTCTTTTACCGCACCTGGTGTATCGTAACATCATTCGTTTGCGGTTTCACGGAAAGCACATCCCAAACCCTCGGCAACCGAGCGCCACACACCGCACCGGGGGATTTCCTCTTCGAGGATTAGGAGGAAGTCGACTTCGAGTCGGATATTTCTTTCCCAGCATGGGAAGACATGGTGCGCCAACGGCGCGACGTGAGCCCAGCTTGAACCTTGCGGATACCGTGTCCGCTCCCCGACCTCTCGACTTCCGGGGAAAGTGATGTTGTTACCAATTGCCTCGACGAGACACAAGAGCAGCAATTAGAGGCTACCCACAGGGTGGCTCTCATGTGATCGAATCCACGTTCGGTCCTATACCCTCGTGTGAAATACGGCTTCCGCTCGGCGGATCCAGCTACTGAAGAAAAAGACGCGATCACTCGATCATCAGGCGTTTACATAGTCGGGCTTCCGGTCACTACACAAGGCTGAGCTTGATCAGCGGAAAACTCTCCGAGCTCGCTTTTGGTACCCCAAGAAGTTCCAATGGATAGATACTGCGCTCGACTTCGAGCTCAAAGAAGAGATGCTCCTGTATTCGCAATGCAGACTATTCCTATGGTGGTCGCCCCTGGCAAACCCGCTACAGATGATGAGGAGCTCTTTGGGAGATGGGTGCAGTGGAACCGGAAATTTTTTATGCTGTCTTCCTTACAGACGAGCCACAAGGAACGGACGTGCGCGTAGAACGCCATCTCTGATTTGGGTTTGCCAAATTCGATGCGCAACGCCGTCTTTCTGCGTATTGTCGCCCCTCGACACATGGAACAGTCCATAACGCTCCCGCCAGCTCTGTGGTTTCTCACACGGATGCGTCAACGACCACAGCAGCTCAGGGCCATAGCTTGAGCTCAGCTCAAGGCCCTCCGGTTTCCCGGGCTACTGCCGAAAAGCGCGGGGCGCACGACGTCGCGGAGCGCCATGATCCTTGAGATCATAAGCGTCCACGACATCTGTGCAGTCTTGCCGAAGTGGCATCTTAAATCCCACGAGTTCTCAAATCCCACGAGTTCTCGTAGTTTGAGTATCCCCGCCAATTCACAAGATATTAACCTCAAACCTGTCGACGACGTCAACCCACGTGATAGCGAAAACGACCATTCTCATCGAGCAGAGTCGGCGGCGGACGATGACGACTTGGTCGATCGCCGTCCGGTGACTTCGATCTCTGGCGGACAAAGTCCGTCGTCATCGGCATTCCGCCGAGCATCTTGCCGAGGTTACCTACCGCTGTGCGGAAGTTCTCGAAAACCAGTTGCTGGCTCAGCTTCGGGGTGGCTAGACCAAAACCTTTCCAATGTAGTGCGGGTCTTTATCAGAGACAGTTGACTACCGGAGTTTATCTGTCGAAAAATCCGATCGCGTCGGTGTCCGGCACTGCCGCAAATTAGGTCATCTTGCTCAAAAGGTTCATGCGCATGGACTGTCAAAACTCGAGAGTACCGGTATATTGTCCGGCCGCGTCACCGCGTTCGGAGAGCGTTTCACCCTCTGACACGTCCCACACGTGCGCACATATGTGCTCGTCCATTTGTACAGCCTGGGTCACTAAGAGTGGTAGCTCACCAATCTGTACGTCTTCTTACGACCGAGATGACCACTAAATGGGGTGTCATCGGCCTCATACAGAATAGGTATTTTAATTATAACCGTGCGGAACCACAATTTGTGGCGTATCCATATAATCGGAGATATAATACAGCAACCCGTCACTCAACGAATATCGGTTTAACCATACGAGCAAACGCGCCGACAATTTCTTGTCCGAGTTACCAAGTTCCACTGCTTTCCGGAAATATACAACACCCCGAAGTTATATTCCGCGAAGAAGGAGAGCCACAAGGCAATCCTCCGCGAGAGGAGTCGAAGTTCGTAGTGACGCATGTTCTGTATAGATCACAACCGGCTTGGAGCCGAGCAAGTGCACCTGAAGTTGACAGGTGCATATTTTATCTCAGGTAATTTCTTGTCGTGGACTGGATAATTCTTCTTCGCATCTTTAAGCCGGCGAGATTCGAGCGCGATCACACGATATCGCCCCTCGACGTCTGCTTGCAGCAGTGCACAGCCGATGGAAAGTCCGAAGCGTCACAGGCGACACCAAACGAACGATCGACGTCTGGCAACGCTAGTATTGGTGCATAAAAAGGCTGTTTTGACCCTGTCAAAAGCGCCCTGATGCTCGGTGTCCCAAAACAATGGCCGTGCCATTTCTGCCTAATTTGTGCTATACTTGTACAAGTAGTTGACGCGGCTAAGCAACTTGCGCAAGTCCTTTTGGTTCTTTGGAACCGGCCAGTACACACTGGCCTTGACTTTAGTGGGTCCGCTCCAGGGCGACGCTTCCCATTTAAGCACCCTAAAAAGGGATTTTTTTCGCGCCAAATATGCACTTATCGGCATCTGCTTACAGATTATTCGTGCACATGCACTCGAGCACCGCTCTCAAATGGACGATGTGGTTTTCAGCATCTGCCCTCCCGTGCCCCGCACGATTGTGGACGGATATGCCATCGAAGTATGTCTGTCCATACGCCCGATGGGGCCTGAAAACTGCGTGCGTCACAAGACGATAAAATGTTGCTGGTGCATTTGACAGCCCTTGAGTCATCACCAGCCATTTTCCGAGCATTCTGCAAGGGGTAATCACCGCTGTCAGCGAAATATCGCTCGCTCATGAGCAATTGCTAATAAACATCAACCAAGTTGAGTGTACTGTACTTTGTACAGCCAACCATATTGTTCTGAAAAACGTTCTTTCTAGGAATCGACGTCTGTGCCGGAATGGTGGCAGCGATTAAATTGTTGTGAGCGTGAACGATACGCCACTTGCCGTTCGGCTTCCGGATACGAAACGTGGGTGTCAAATGGGGAGGCTTGCTCTCACGCACCATTCCTGCGTCGTGTTCCGCACGTAAAAGGCATCAATGACGTCACACTGCTCCTTTGGCGGGGGATATTGGCGTGTTACGCAGTCGGAACCAGGTCGATCTCATGACGCACACCTCGGTCCGGAGGTAGGACCGTCGGCGGTTCTCTGGGGGCGACGTCTCTAAATTATTTTTTCGATAGATAGTCTGGATCAGAGGATCCTTCAGGATCGACGATATGCTTCGTGCGCTCAGCACCCTCTTAGTCTCTCCTCAAGGACAGCTTCATCCAGAAGCGACGATGAGTTAATATCCTGGTGCGGTCTTATAATGACCACCTCGGCTGAATTGCCTGCCTTCAAGGAACCGCCAAACTCTTCGAAGGACATCTCGTCCAGCGACCGCGGGAATAGCCTCGAGGCTGATACCGCCGTCTTTCTCTCCCGTTATACCGTTAACAAGGGTATTAAATGATGGTCCAATCTGGAATCAACTATTCCATGGGTATCCCAAGATGCTGGATGATGTCATCAACCATGCGATACAAGAGACGTTTTGCGTCATGCAATCCAAACTCAATGGCTTCGTACCACATTGGGGCCAGAGATCTTATAAACAACATCGACAATACTCATCTCGAGCCCAATAAGGACCCACCCCCTACTGGTCGTTTGATTTTATACCTCTAGGAGCGTTCGAAACGACAACCTTAAAGCAACCACGGTTATCCGAGCGAGCACCCTGCGTCTGCTGCCGACTCGGCAAAGGCACTCTACAGTTGTGACACGGCTTCCCACAACGGAAACACTTTCCATCATTGCGAGGACGCTCATTACCAGGCGTGGAATTGTACGAGATTTTCATTGGCTCTGGACCATCACTTGTACCGGTCGCCTGGCGCGTTTCCCTTGTGTAAACCTACCCAATATGAAAGAAGAAATGATCATTCGTTTAGCGAATGGATTAAGAATGATGATGCCAAAGCAATTCATTTGATTAGTAATGAAGTTTGAAAATTTCCGAGGTCAAGACGAGAATATTCGATGATGAGTTTGGTATAGTCCTAGTCATTCATAGTTGAAACGTTATCAGCCAGGCATTGACTGGATGAATATGGGGATCGTCAAAACAGTATGAGCATATGCATCTGTTGAAGAAGTCACAGATGCCCAAAGTGATATTGTTGTGTGGGATGGCCCCCCATTATCACAGGACCAACTCAAGAAGACGAAAGTCAAGACACCAACTTGGGGTGGAGCAGTCGGGGCCAAAATAAGACTGTCTCCATTGCTATCAAAATGAATGTCATGACCGATGGTAGTATAAATAATATTGTGTCAGAGGCAGAGTAGTATAAAGAATAGTGGGTCGGACCCATCCCGGTAGAAGAAAAAAAAGGTCACCGAGAAAAGCTTGTCGTCAAGTATTCTGCGTGTCCTTGATCAAGATCAAGGTAAAAGTTGTATTGATGAAGAAGTGTTTAACACAAGACACTTCAAGCGAGTTTGTAAATATTGTGGCCTACAACGAAGAAGGCAGCGTCGATATTATCCGTCACGTGAAGACTGAATTTCTTCAGGTTCAGTCAAAGAATCAAGTATCTTGCCGTTAATGAGCAAGAAGACGCTGAAGCGTAGCCTGGCGAAAGGCAGAACTTCGCAAATATGTGCGATCGTCGAAGAAACAATCGGCGATGACATCAATACTGCGGCAGTATCTGATGAGAAGACACGGGAAGAAAGGTTTGATGAGCAGTTGTGGGACGCGCTTAGCTCAAATCCCCGTTTTTGGACTTTATATCGAATATTTTGACATATTTCCAGACCAGGTGCTAGACGAATTCTTATCCGAAAGAGGCATTTGTCATGAGATTGACATACTTTATGGTACGAAGTACTGCATAACACACCAGTGGCCATTGCCAAAAGAACAAGTCATTGCAATTGACGAGCTCTTTGCGCAGCAACAAAAGGCTGGTCATGAGCGTGAGAGCAAGGTTCCGCATTGTAGTCCGGCCTTCTGGTGAAGAAGGCCACAATTGGTTGGCGCAGGGTTCACGCTTTCGATATATTTAACGATGCGACCATACCTGCCCAGACTCTGTTTCCACGAAAGAATTTAATTTTTGATGGCTGGCAGTACAATTTTCAGTGCAATCGATCTGAAAGATGCTTTCTATCACGTAGGAATGCACAAAAATGACCCACCACTAACTGCAGTCGTTACCCTCAGTGATATGCTGTGGGAATGGTTAGCGATGCCACAAGGTTTGAAGAACGCTCCGGCGACTTTTAACAGAATGGTCACAAATCTTCTTCGTCCATTGGGAGAGTTTGCACCGAACCACTTTGACGATATAAACATTCACAGTAAGAAAGCGGGTGATAAGTCTATGTCGATGTTGATCATGATCATTTTCATCAGATCTTCCAAGTCATGCGAGAGAATGAGCCCTACCCTAATTTGAAAGAGCGCATTTTCTATGCACCAGAGATCTCCGTTGTAAGCTGCCTTGTGGGCAAGAGTGGCGTTCATGTAGATCCGGAGAAAATCAAGCTATCAGTGATTGGCCTGAGCCAAACAATTTGAAACACTGAGACAACGGTTGGGCTTGGCCAACTATTTAGACAAATACACGCGCAACTATGCAGCGTTGGTGCAATCCCTATCGAAAGAAGAAGGTTGAATGGGAATGGTCAAAAGATCACCAGGCGGTATTTGTCGATGTGAAGATGAGCTTGAGAAAGGCTCCTGTTCTTGCGATTGAAAGCCACGCTATGCCTTTTAATGTGGTCTGCGATGTAAGTGATTATTTCATCGGTGGTGCGTTGATGGAACACGATTATGAGGGTCGAGAGCGAGTTGTTTCGTATCCGTCGCGACAACTCCGGCCCGCAAAATGGAACTAACCGGTTCATGATAAAGGGTTTCAGCAGTAAAGTATTCTTTGATTAAGTATCGTTTGTAGTCGCTTGGATGGGAGCGTTTTGCGATCTATACAGATCATGCCCCACTGCGTACGGCAGTAAAGAATCCTCATTTATCGCCAAGAATGGCTCGATGGTCTTCTTTTTTGCGGAGTACAAATTTGCTGTACACTACAAGCCAGGTAAGACGAAGGTCTTATCCGATACGTTGTCAAGACGTCCGGTCTATGATCGAAAGTCCAAAAGCGAAAACATACATGAGTCATGTCGACAATGCAAAGATTCAGAGTGCAAGCTATGACTACGCTGCACGAAGAAATTGTTGAAGGGTGCAAGTCTAGTAAGACATGTCAGGACTTGGTGAGGTATTCCAATGACCCTTCCGACAAAGCACTGCAAGGTCTTCCGTCTCGCACAAGATCGCGTACTCACCCTTATGGAGAATATAACAGATTGTCATACAATAGGTGGGAATACGGGGATAGCGAGTGTTGATGTTCCAAATGACGAAGGTTTGCGTCATCGTCTCGTATATGAGTATCATGACAGTCCTTCGGGTGACCATCTCGAACTAGCGATAATGTCTCTCGGTCTTTCCCGGGTTTACTACTGGCCACAATGTTAGGACTTGTAAGATTTGCCAGAGAGTGAAACCATCTAATTCTACTCAGGTCCAACTTCGATCGTTGGCCGTGCTAATAGGCGTTTGGAAGTCAGTTAGTATGGATTCATATTTGGACTTCCGTGTGACACACATGGATGCCACTGTGTCCATGTGTTAGTGGACCGATACCGTAAGATGGTTCGTCTTGCGCCTTTTTCGGACAAGATCTCTGCCGAAAAGACAGCTAAGGTTTTTGTAGACGTTTTTTTGCGTCTTATTGGCCTTCCTGTTAAAATAATGTCTGACCGTGACACTCGTTTTACATCGAAATCTCGGCGTGCACTGTTTGGACTATTGAGCACCGAATTGTCCAAATTAACAGCGGCACACTTTGAAACGGACAGTCAAACAGAGCGTGTGAACCGAGTCCTGAAGGACGTACTGCGCGATTTTGGTACGTCGCTCAAAGAGAAAAGTGAATTTTTTACTCTTGCAGAGATTCCACGCATGTCACGACAGGTCATTCGCAATTTTATGTGAACTATGGCATTCATCCAAGAGTACCTGCTTCCAAAGTGGGGGAAGAACTATGGCTATAGAGTCACAGTCAGACCGAAATGCTGTCACAGAGTTAAAAGAGGATAATAAGTCAATAAGACCTATAGACGACATGACAAGTCGTGAAGAACAGCACGATGATGACTTTATTGCGAAGAGACAAGCTCTTGTTTGGTTTGTTCGAGACGCAATTGCGAAGCGTCAGGATCTGCAAAAAGAACAAGCAGATAAGAGCGGAAGAACAAGACGGCATATAAGGTCAATGATCCTATACTACTTAGCCCGACAAGTCTGTCTGAACACGCAATGCCCAACTTAGGAAGCGGGAAGCTTTTGCCACGATTCACTGGACAAATTTAGATGTTAAAGTCCAATGGTGATGCGTATACATTAGCCATACCTACACGCATGCGCCTACATCCTACAATTTATATGGGTAGGCTAACGTCGTTTCTTGCGAGTGGATCTGTCGATCCTGCAAAACATTTGATAGATGATCGAGCTTTCATATAGTTTCTCCAATTGTCCACGAAGAGCAACCAACTTCTCACCCTGAGAATTCTTCTCTGCGTGCAAGCGTTGAAGAACATCAAAGAATTGCATCTATACTGATTCCAGCGCTTGAAGGCGAGAATGGTATTACCTCGAGAACAGAATATGCCTCTATAACAGAGCGCAACAGGTGTTTGTGAGCCATCTCAAGTTCATCATGAACCTGTTGAAATCGTAGTTCAAACAGAACTCCAAAGCCTAACATTGATCAGTTAGAATGTCAAGCCTCGACGTCTGCTCTGTAACAAGGTTCAAAAAGCTGCCGCAGTGATCTTCAAGCGTCGAGCAACGCTGCTGCAATGCCTCAATTTGCCGGAGATGAGTGCTCAGCCACCTCCAGAGTTACTTAATCGTTTTTAGGTTCATCCCCATCTCCGCTATCAGACTCTCGTGGAGAGCGTCGTTGGGTGGTTGAGACGAGTGTCGATCACAAGGATTGATTGACTCGTCATCGTGAAAAAAAACAGTTGAATCATCAACGCTTCTACAGAATTAGGTTATGCGGCTATCCTTCGGATTTGGACTCGTGGGAACCTCGTCAGTCCTTTGAGTCTGATGTCCCTGACGTGGTTCGCAGCTACGATAATCGCTTGAAGCTTTGCTAGAGGATACACGACGATGACCAGAGCTTAGTTTTGCTCGGTCGTGACTGGGAGCTCTGCCACCGCCGACTCGACGAAGCCAACGCTCCATTTTGTTCTCGTTCTCAAGGCGACATTTTTTTTCGCCAAGCGTCAAGCTTAAATGCGATGGGCTCGGTCGGATCATCACTATAGTTGATCCACTGCCAACATAAGAACTGTTCCATATTGAACCTCTTGTCTTTATGATGGAGGAAACGTCAAAGAGTTCTGGGGCAGCTCTTTGCCGTTTAGGCGAAAAACATGCAAGCTGATCGCTTCTTTGTTAATCGGAAAGTGAATTGCTCCAAAAGGTCTGCAAGAGTTCAATCGACTTTTGGCTTTAAGGCAGGTGCGATGTAGTGGGCTACACTTAGCCATTGCACGAAGATACGTTCATGTACCTCTTGAATGCATGTGGATATTAATAGAAGAAAAATTCAAATTTGGTGCTTCCAAATACATAAGTTATTTTCTACTTGAAGTCACAAACATCCTGTATTATACAGAATGCTGGTTCCTACTTGGGGGTCTATACTTTCAACGAGACAGACGTGACTTTGGCTTTGGAAGTGGGTGGTGTAAGCCAGTCACTTCTACTGGATACTTTCCACGAAAGGTGAAGCTCAAGCTTTCGAAGTTCATGCTCCGTACACCCAGAATCTTTTATTAGTTGAAGCTGATGTAAAACCTCTTGGGGTGTTTTGTATGTAACAAGGAACCATAACTCATACTGAATTCAGTTGCATAGCTGCCTTTAAGAGCCTTAGTCGTTTTTTTCGTCCAAGTCGGGACTATCCTTCTCCCTCCACGTCGAGAATCGCTGCCTCAACGCACAAGCGTATGTGTTTTGTGTTGAGGCGCTGTTTGTGAACAGCGCCCTCTTACACAGGGTTGCACGCATGCGCCGATGTGATGTAGGTTTGCTGTAACATGGTACTGACTCCCATGTACCAGTATGTGGTGAGAAAAAATGCTCAGGACCTCAAGTGCAAAACTCTATGTGTGGCTCGCGATCATTAACTTTATCTTCAGTCTTCCAAAGAAGGCTCTTTACGGACTATATGATCAGGGTGGATCATCTCGCTGCTGACTACGGCACTATAGCTTGCAATAATTTGCCAAGTTGCTCCTCGACCAAGTGTTTCACCAACCCGTCTTGCCGTTACCATGTCTCAGATACCGATCGGCGCTGTTCAAAAATGTTTCGGTGAGCAAAGCTCAAGGTGATCGTCATTGGAGTGGACATGTCGACCGCTGACAATCGACAAACAGATGGTTAATCGAAACGCAAAGTACGTGTTACGGAGAGGTTTTATTGAAGCGCATGCGCCGAAAGACCTCGAGCTGAAGCGAGTTTTCTCAATCATTGAGTTTGCGATGAATATCGCAGCAGACATCTTTTCAGACTTGACTCCGATTTACATAAATGATTTGTGAATCTCTGCCACAGTGCGGCATGGTGTTTGTGGCGGAGGGGGTATCGATCCATTTTAACTTGCTAATATTATCCTCAAAGCAAAATTTGTGATTTTACCTTTATGATTTTAGGGTTATTGACGTGTGCGCGCCGCTGTGGCTAAGGGCCAGGATATTCAAAAGAAACACACCGATGCTAGATTAGACAGAACACACAATTTAATGATGTCGAAAGATGATAATGCTGTCTGCAATTACCCTACCTACACATGTTGTGTCTGAGGTCCTTAAGACGAAATAGCGACCGCACTATGCCCGATCGTTCGTGATCGTTGATCAAAGAGTAGTGACTAAACATCCCAATGATAATACAAACACAGCCAGTGTTTTTTGTAGGCGTAGTGAAGTCATACCAAGATCTCGCACGAACGTGCCAATCGGATTAAACAGTTCGTTGACGAGGCAACGAATCTACCATCCAACGTAGCTAAGCAAACTTTGGCTACAAAGCAGCGGAGTGGTACCTAGCCGCTGGGTTGATCCAAGAACTAGCGCATCTTAGTCTAGAACGCACGTCGTAACTCTCGGAGATAGTTGAGATTCTGCAAAAACCAAGAAGGTCACGAGAACCAGCTGAGGAACCAGCAGCCTTGCTTGATGAGCACGGCGCAGGTTACCATCATGCTGCGGATACACCAAGTATGTGGTAGAGTGAAAGGGGTATCCTCAGTCTGAAATCTCGTGGGAGCGTTGGGGTTACTCTTCGACAGATTTTCCCTGGTGACATGCCTATTTACGACCTGGTGCATCATCGGTCGTTTTGCATTGAAGAATTGGCAGGGCGACTAATGCAGCTCCCTTCTCAAAAATGGGAGGTGACCGACATAGCGGTGGACAGGACCCTTGGTCACTGGCTGTTCCAGCTGTCTCATGGAGACGAAGGAGATAAAAAAAGAGGATGAAGAGCAGTCACCTCGAATTTTGTTTCGTGCTTATCAGTCTGCAACGTTAAGCTGAGGACGATGCTCTATGCGACCGTCCGCTTTGTTGAAGCAGGCTTTAGAAACTTAAGATGATTTCTAATTCAATGTGAGTACTGGGTCGTACACTTAGCGTCAGTTTTATAGATATTAGCACTCAAAGCATATGTCCCATGGAAGCTATGGGATTCTTCAACCCCTGTTGCTCCAGGCGCGGACGTTGTCTTTGGGAAGTTGATCCATGTGGGTTGATAATGCGCTCGCGGAAGGACAATCTTGCGTTCTTTTCGCTCTGGATGTAAGTGAAAGGCCCATAGGCATAGGCGTGTAGAAGCCCCGCGCGATTCTGAAATTTGTGCAGCAAGTAGACTAAGCACACGAAGCGCCTCTTGCTTGGGGAAAAGCAAGGCCTGTTTTGCTGGGTGATGGCAGTAGTATTTGGCGGAAAATTGTACAGCGTTCTCATCGAAGATCATCTCGGCGTCCTCGCCAAGAATTCGTCACAGCAAGACCGCACTTTAGCGGGGACTCGCCGAGCTATTTAGTTTGATGCATGGGAGCAAATCCTGGTGTAGGTAGTCAGAAGAGCAGACACGGGGGAGTGCAGAGAGTGGAAACTATCCAAGCGCAGTTGGATGAGGACGCTGTTGAAATCAATTCCTCAAACACAACACACAAGCTTGTGCGACGAGAAATTGATTCCCGACGCGGAGGGAGAAGGACAGTCCCGATTTGGAAAGAAGAAGAACGACTTAAGACCTCAAAGGTAAATCTGCAACTGAATTAAAATAGGTTCTGGTTCCTAATTACATGTAAAACACCTTAAGGGTTGTAGAAGCTTTTTTCATTTTACCTTGGGCTCTCGATATATAAATCAAGGGTGCACTAAGGTTGAACCTTCGCTGCAAATGATACAAGATCTTGAATGTACGAAGCTTGAACTTCAACTTCAAAGCTTGAGCTTCAGGTTTTGTGGAAGTGTTTAGTGGAAGGGACAGGTTTACGCCACCCACTTCGAAAGACAGAGACACGTCGGATTCGTCACCAGAACCATTCGCAAAGTAAGAACCAACATTTTGTATCACAGAATGTTTTGACTTCATGTAAGAAATTACGTTTGCGTTTGGGATTACCATACTGTGATCTTCTTTTATGAATTCACACAATGCATGTACCTTCATATAGTGGCTAGTATAGCCCATTCCAGCAGTGGTTGCTCATATGGTGGTCACTTAACATAGTCTGGAAACGACAAACTAATTGTGGACCTCAGTTTAGCATAAATTTCTGTGTGGAGAGTGCAACGGGGTAAGTACTGTGATCCTGTGAGCTTTACCCTGACATATTTGCAGCAATTATATTCAATACAATACGATACAATTGATGGAATTGTGAATTTTCAAAAGTACCAGAATATCGGTATTATGTAGATGACGATTATCCAAAAAGAAATATCCGTTTGACACATAGTCAAACGCCAAAGCCTAATGTAGTATTATATCGAAAAATGATACAACGTAGCGCGAGTTTAAAAGTCAACACTTCCTCCATGCAAAGCGCTCGACAACATCGCTGATTTAAATTCTATAGATTCTTAAAAATGAAATGGCATTATTCTACTTCTCAAAGATGATTGAATAAGCTAATCAAAATTAACAGGCAATGCAAATCTGACGTAGTGTTGTATACACCGTTTTTGTCACACACAAATCTTATTGTGTGATACATTTCACGTAGTCGTATACACTTTTTTTGTCACACAGTTTTCTTCACAAAACGACTGATTTCTTCATGTGTTACATTTCCATAACTTTTACAAGAAAATACACCTTTCTATTGAAAAAACTTTCGAAAATTGTAAGAAAAATGGACTGTAACAGTGATAAAGCATCTGCCATATCAGATTCAACAGGAGAATTTGCTACAAAGCCTTTGGCGTAACGGATGTGCACAAATTTCGTGATTCGGTGCTTCTATGTCCGTAATCATGGATGACACGACACCTCAGTCTTGCTGTATCGAAACATCATTGATCTTAACAGGTAGAGCTTAACGACAATGCCGTATTATCGTCGTGGTCCAGGCTTTAGCTTCTCAGAAGGAGCAGGACTCGATATCAACGCTTATGGTCCACCAACCGACTTAGTGCATTCAATGGATTTGGACCTACGGCTCTTTTCGAGCTACTTTATAGTAGTTGATCCACTAGCGACTTTTGTAGGCTACCGAATTGCACAACATTGTCTGCGTGGTTGTCGTGTATCGTTCCTATCGCCGTCGCAACGCATGTGGATCGGCTTTTTCTACTGTTTGTTTAAACTTCGACTGGTATGTATGTACTTTGTTTCTTTTCGAATGACTGCGATTGACCATATCAATTTCTTAAGATTGACTACGCATTCCACGGAACAACATACTACATGCTGTCACTGGTAATAATGGTCGTGTACTTTGTGTACGCACTTCTGGCTTTTGGCTTTCACTTTGGTCCGCTGCAATTCTTGTTCTTTGATTACATTCCACGAAACAAAATGACACAGAGTGTGATCTACAAGATGGCGCAATTATGCAAACAAGTGTCGGCACGTATCGAGTTTTACATACTACAGCAGCTTATTTGCAGTCCTCCATTGGAAACGCGTGACCGAGATGCTATGACCTCATCGGCTATAGCCACCCACCCACAAGATACGACATCTGTACGCTCAGATAGAATCACTGGTTTCTCGCGAGTCACGTCATTCTTTGGACGAGAAGTCGAGGTGAATATTGAGCTTTGGAATAGCTCCATGTGTCAGCAATGGGCTATGGCTCTGAGCACTACTGCCCGATCGCATGCTTCACGTGTTCGGAGAAAACATTTAAACACTGTTGCATTCAGCGATTGTGTGTTCGAGTCCCGATATATGTTCGTAATGCAGCATGATGGTTTGTTGCTTGGTTTTTTTGTGACGACACCAACTGCGACGCTCATGACTAAGTTTAAGGATGGAAAAGCCGTACCCTTTGAACTATTGCTGCGCTTTAACTGTACTTCTCGCCGGGCATTGGTAACGATGGTACCACATTTTTTATATGCAGAAAGCCCCAAGCTGGTTGGAAAAAAGACGGTGGCTCAGTCACAGGCTGTCTATCGTCTACTTTTACAACTTAATAGTATGCACGGCAATACGGCTGATGTATCACTTCGTGCTCTACGAGCAAAGAACTTTATTGACGCTGGTGTCGGTCAAGTGGTAAAGAAGAAGTTACGCATTGCTGGCTCGTTTAGTGGCCTCGACGGGTATTAAACGGCAATCGATTCGACTTGGCAACGCCATCATTTATTTAAATAGAGTATGTTAAATAGCCATCCTATTCATGTGTGATTGATTCCCCATTCTTCTCAAATTTACTCGTCAGCTATGAGTTGAATTCTGGTGAAAAGTTTTCTCGACCTTATCGGCTTCGCGAACTGATAGGAATAGCTATATATTGTTTACACATAACTTCGATATCTTAACACATGCTTCGAGCAATTTTTCTTTTAACAAAATTGCAAAGGAGGAGGAACAGTAGGTACCATACCTAATTTGAATTCTGCTTGCCGAAACTGCTCCACGTTCCATGCGTCATCGCGCAAATCGGGTGATAGTCCAGTAATCTCAGGTCTAGAAGGTACAGTCGTGCGTATACTTGTAGGCTCTTCAGTTGCAGACTTCTGGAATCCCCCAGATTCATTAAAAGTGCTAGTCGAAGTCGTCTGCGTACCGAATGGGCTGTTTGATGGTGCTGCAAGTGCTCCAAACTGAGATTTGGTCGTGCCGAATAATGCGGATGCACCAAATGGAGTAGAGGCTGTACCAAACTCTGCAGAAGACCTGCCAAAAGTTGTAGCAGACGTCGAAGAAAATGGAGAGCTTACAGATGTCCCAAATGGTGAGGATGCCGATGTAACAGCAGTAGAACCGAATGGTGAGGCTGATAAATTTCTTTCTCCTGATTCTGTTCTAGATCCAAAGGCAGTAGAAAAACTTGTACCACTTCCAAATGATGAAGGCGTCGTCGTTTTACTCCCAAACGTTGTCGACGATGTAGCCACCCCACTAAAAGAAGCTGTAGACGGTGCTCCGAATGGACTTGTAGCCGGTGTGACTGGTTTTCCAAATACAGTCGCAGCGCCTCCTGCAAACGGGTTGGCTGTTGTCGCACTGCCGATTCCGGAGCCACCACCTAATGAGCTTGTCGCAGTCTTAGTCGTATCATCTGCACCAAACGATTTCATGAACGAGACATTTCCTCCACCAAACGGATTAGCAGTAGCCGTAGATCCAAAAGGAGAAGTCGTTGATGTCGTTCCAAATGGATTCGCTGCTACAGCTCCTCCAAATGGATTCGAAACGCCAATTTGTCCATTAGAATTAGAGACTTCAAGCAGCGATTGACCAGCAAATAGCTTCTGTGCTGACTGATGGTTCTCCAACAGCGATACAACTCGACGTCGTTGGTTTTGTTGCTCTGCCGCAAGTGCTTGCAGCTTCTGCGTAGACTGTATGCAGCTTCCCGACGATTTAATCTCTTGATAAGCTTCCCATCGAGCTTCTTCTGGACTGATATCACCTGTTACAATACTTGGAAGCTACAGCATTATGTTAGCGTTTCTTTCACTTATAGGTAGTAAGTACGACTCGTACGCCTTCGGCAACTGCAAATCCTGAAAGTGGCCATATTGAAGGTAATTTAAGCTCCTCGATGGCGATTGCACGTCGTGTCTCTTGAGTCTTAGAGACTGAAGTGACGCCATTGTTTCCGAAAGGAGACGTTTGTGAACCAAATCCACCGCTAGCTCCATTACTGCGCTGTCCATTGGATTCGTGTGAGAAGCGGCAGTTGAGACCATTGCGGCAAGATCCCCGTAAAAAAAACTTGCAAGGCTTCATGTAGCCGCCTGGACGCCCCATGTATTAGTAATGATATTCTGTTGGTAATAAATTCGTTTGAGACTTTTAATGTGGTTACCTCATACTATTTTTTTTAGTAGTATCATTTTCTTACACATAGCGGTGTGCCATCCATCATACTTTAGATATCAGTTAAGATGATGGTATTCAGACGATAAATCAATAACTCGAAAAGCTATGACACAGAAAGAGGTGACGATTGGGGCCTTGTTTCTCGTAATTTCTGTTGCTACGACATGTGTGTTTGAGTCTTCACTTATTCGAAGCATCAAGAGCTTTGAGGAAGGACGATCCGCAGCTGTATCACTGTCGAGTCCCCAAGTATCGACGAGTGCTGAGGACCAACTAGTCCATTTCTCAGGATTGATCACAACCACATTGTTGGATGGAATTAGCCAAAATGTAGACGAGCTTCAACTTCGGCACAGCCCATATGTATTAGATCCAAAGTTTGGCATTATAGTAAAAGGTGTAAAGCTACATCGCCATGTGGAGATGCTACAGTGGGTGGAGACATCTTACACTTCGACCAGCAGTACACCCGAGGACGAAGATCGTCGGTTTGATGATGATCGGGAGCGAATTTATATGTACGATTTAAGTTGGAAAGAAGAAGTGGTGGATAGTAGTACATTTCATGATATAAGTTATCGAAACCCTCCATTGGAGGCTTGGAAGTACAAGTCAATGGTTATGAATACGAAGAATCTTGTGATTGGGGAATTTCTACTGCCTCAAGAGCTAGTAGATCAGATTCAACGTCGAGATGTTGTGCACTTAGACACTTCTAGTCGTCAAAAGATGACAAATTTACTGGATCGACGAATTGGAACAACGTGGGCAACGGAAAGTGCGCTTAACAATATTACGGTAGAGGGAGACTTTTTTTATTTTCGAAGCGAGACGAGGGATCCTACTCTTGGCGACCAACGCGTGTTTTTTGAAGTGACACCCAATTATCCAGTGACTGTATGTGCGAAGCAGAAAGGGAAGGATTTGGTACCATACATAACTTCAACTGGTGATTCGCTGTATCTATTAGAAGACGGAATTATGACTGCAAATGAGCTGTTTGATAAAAAATCTCACGATGAGGTCTTTGTTATCATTGACTGTCTGGCCAAAAAACTATTTATCAACTCTGTGTTCTGTTTGTAGGTGCGAAAGACCCGCTTTTATCGGCTTTTCGCGGCCGTGCTAGGATTCATGGGGTTTCTAGTCCTGCGCAGATCGCTTATTGAACGCTTTGGATCCGTGTTGGGTGGTATTCAGCAGCATTTGCTGGCTTGCACCTTAAGCATTGCACTCACCTCTTTGGTCGTTGGAGCAAATTGGCTTTTGTACAGGCAAGTTTTAAATAATCCATCTAGCGTCGATTTAATTCTAACTCGCGTGTTTTATATATTGATTAGACCACTGTGGGCAATTATGTTGTCGCTTTGTGGCTGGACGCCTCTAATCGGTCTTTTCATTGTCTTTCGCCCAAAACATGGGCACAAAACTCAATGAACAAAGATATTCGTTTGTTCCACTACAAAATAAACACGTTCAAGGCAATGGCACCCACTTTCTGCCTCGAGATTACCTTGAAAGTCTGCAGGATGACAAGTCAAAGAGCAAACAACATTACTAAAGGGATGTGTGTAACCTTTCGTCTGATTGAAATACGATTTATATAAGGAATATGAGCTAAATAGTAGTTATGAGGAAAAAATATGAGATTATATTGCCATACTGGCCAGCTATATGATATATCTAACAGGATAAAACGAATAATAGTATGAGGTGTATATTACGGCATTGCAAATAGTAATCTAGGTCGACTACTAAATTCAGGTGAAATTGATATTGTAACGTCTTTATTGTTTGCAAGTGACGCCAACTGGAGTCTTCCGGGTGCATCCGTCTTCTTTTTAAGAAGCGGTGAGCGTGGCATTAAATGCCGAATTCAACTTCAAGTCGTCACGATTCGGTTGGAATGCACACCCTCAGAGGTCGTCGAGCGGGCCTGAGCCAATGGATGTTAGCTATGCTGTGAAGGAGGAGGGAGAGCTCCTGCTTCTGAGCGCTCGACGATAGTTTGTTTTCGAAGACACCCGTCACCATCGGACGGTTTGTCCCTTGCGCAAGGCGCGTAAAGGTTCGTCGATCCAATGTCCCGCTTCTAACCAATCTGGTTTGACGCGGGAAACGAGAACACCCATCAGGCGCGGGGCGCCCTACCGGGGGAGAACTGAGTTCTGCTGAGCCTCAAAGAGGTAGAGGGCAGCAGGGTACAGCCCCGAAAAGCTCCGTGCTCTTATACACATTCCGTGTGTACAAGCCGGGCTTGCTGGTCGTAAAAGCGACCGTGAAGGGCTTTGATAAACCATGGAAAATCCTTTTCGATTCTGGTGCGTCTGGAACTATGCTCGGCGCTCCACGATCGAAGGAAGTCAGCTGGAAGCGCGATCGAGTAACACTGTCTCTGTTCGCTTAGCGACGGGGACTGGTGTCATTGTGCCGACGGTCCCTGTGAACCTCGGTGTCAAACTCCTTGACTTTGATAGCGTGGAACTTTGCCTAGTCTTAGACGCGGATGCAAGGTATGACCTTATCCTTGGTATGGCATGGTTGAAACACCATGAACCATGGTTTGATTGGAGGTCGAAGACCTTTGGCGCTAGGCGCACGTCTCCTAGTGGAGCTTTGGTGAGCCACGAACCCACCTCTACTAGGAGGCAAAACAATATTGGCGCGGGCACTGGGCCGGGACGATCAATGTGCTGGATATTGGAATATCCGAGCTGTCGAATACCGAAGGCGTATTGGACAAGAGCCCCGAGCGTGGCTCGCGGGCTGAACGTGGAGAGATCATAACACAATGAGCGCTGCTCCAGTATTGGAGCAGTCGCTGCATGCCAAGAGTGGCATGATCGGCCAAGGGCCGAGACGTCAAGGGAGAGACCATTGTGATGCGCGTGGAGTGGCACGTAATCCACTGAAGCACTACTCACGTTTCAAAGCAGTTGCTGCATGCCAAGGGTGGCACGGTCGGACGAGCTCCCAGGCATCCTGGGCAAGGCCCTTCTGATGCGCGTGGGGTGGCACGTTAACCACTGGACGAAGACTGCGGAAATAGCAGCTCTTCTTCAAATGTTGTTAATAACATCAAGGTTCCGATGGAGCAGGGAGTGAGGACACTGGACGACGCCGAGTGCGTGTTCTGACTGGTCTCGATGAGGCGTAAAACCTTTATAGAGAAGAGACGGCGAAGCCGTATGTTATCTGCAAGACGCAGGGCGTCGACCCTGACCCAGGGTATTTCTACCGTAGCCGCGCACAGCTATATACCCTTGTCAACGGTATGACGGGAGAGAAAAACGGCGATGTCACCCTCGAGGATATTTCCGCGGTGGATGCTCTTCTTGAGCTGGACGAAATGTCCTTCGAAGAGTTTGACGGTGCTTTGTAGACAGGAAATTGGGCCAAGGTGGTCATTAAAGACCGAACAAGAAATTTAACTCGTCGTCGTTTCTGGAAGATGCTGTTCAAGAAGGAGCTGAACGCACGTAGTGGATCCTCGATCCCGAAGAATCCTTTGGATACATTTTATTCGTTGGTAAAGGAAAATCAAGACGTCATCTACAAACAATCGCCGTCGGTCCTACCTTCGGACCGAGGTGTGCGTCATGGGATTGACCTGCTTCCGAGATCCAAATACTGTGTACCACGCCGATGCCCCCTGCCCAAAAAGCGTTATGACGTCATTGACGTCTTTTTCCGAGCGAAGCACGTCGCAGCAATGGTGCGTGAGAGCATGTCTCCCCCACGTTTTGCGTCCGGAAGCCGAACGACAAGTGGCGTATTGCTCACGCTTATAATAAGCTCAACGCTGCCACCATTCCGGCGCAAACGCCAATTCCTAGAAAGGATGTTCTTCAGAACGATATGGTTGGCTATACAAAGTACAGCGCATTCGACTTGGTCGATGGTTATTACCAATTGCTTATGAGAGTGAGTGATATCCCATTGACAGCGGGAGTACTCCAAGCAGGAGCTCTGGATGTGAGTGGCTGGTGATACCCCAAGGGCTGTCAAACGCACCAGCAGCATTTGATCGTCTTGTGACGCAATTGTTTAGGCCCCATTGGGCGTATGCGCAGGCATACTTCGACGACATTTTCGTCCACAGTCGTGTGACGCTCGGGTGGACAGATGCGGAAACCACATCGATCATTTGAGAGTGGTACTCGAGTGCATGCGCAAGAATAAGCTGTATGATAATGCCGATAAGTGCGTCCCGGTGCGGTAGAAATTCCCTTTCAGGGTACTTTATTGGGAAGCGTGGTCTTTGAGCGGATCCCACTAAAGTCAAGGCCACTGTGGTTTGGCCGATTCCAAAGAACCAAAAGACTTGCGCAAATGGTTTAGCCTCGCCAGCTACTTGTACAAGTATAGCGCAAATTATGCAGAAATGGCACGGCCATGGTGTTGGGACACCGAACATCAGGGTGCTTTTGACAGGGTCGAAGACAGCCTTCTTTATGCACCAATACTGGCGTTGCCAGACCTCGACCGTTCTTTTGAGTGTCGTCTGTGACGCCATGGACTTTGCCATCGGCAGTGCACTGCTGCAAACAGACGCTGAGGGGCGAGATCGGGTGATCACGCTCGAATCTCGGCAGCTTAAGGCTGCGGAGAAGAACTACCCAGTCCACGACAAGAAATTACCTGAGATGAATTATGCACCTGTCAACTTCAGGTACACCTGCTTGGCTCCAAGCCGTTTGTGATCTACACAGATCATGCGTCACTCTTCTCGCGGAGGATGGCCAGGTGACTCTCCTTCTTCGCGTAATATAACTTCGAGGTGTAGCATATATCAGGATAGCAGACGAGTTTGGAAACTCGATCAAGGAATTGTCGGCGTGTTTGCGCGCATGGTTACACCGATATTCGTTGAGTTACGGTTTGCTGTATTATAGCACCGATTCAACGGATATTGTGTTTGGCCTGCCGATGGTCTCGGTGGGCAACACGAGTGTAGTAGTCTTCGTAGACCGTTTGAGCAAGATGGCCCATCTTGTGGCAGTACCGGACACCATCGACGGTGTGGGTACAGCGACGCTGTTTGTCGATCGCATCTCTTGACAGCATGGACTCCCGGAGTCAACTTTCTCTAATAGAGACCCGCGCTTCACTAGCAAGTTTTGGTCTACACTCTACAGGGTGCTGGGCACCAATTTGACTATGTCAACAGCGGGCCATCCGCAGACCGATACTGACCTAGTGAATAGCGTCGTTGAAAACGTCTTCGCTGCGGCTGCGCTGAGACGCTGAAGCACTGCAGCTCTATATTGCCGTTCGTAGAGTTTGCTCTGAACAATGCCGTGTATTCAACTACCGGCTAAACGCCGTTCTACATGTTCGGGCTTATTTATCCACGCGTCCCTGACGCCGCCATCCCATGGCTCAGGGCCCGGTTGGGGAGGAATAGCGGAACGGCTAGCTAACGTCAGCCTTCTCACCGTGCGTAAGAAAGTCGGAGACTTCCTGTTTACTAGACTGAGTGTCTTACGACACGTTCGCTATGCGATGGCTGAAACCCAACAGATGCAAAAGGAATATGCAGACATAAAAAGAAGAAGAAATGTTAAAAGCATTAAAGTCGGAGGTCTGGTTTTATTAAGCGCTATAAACCTTCCTACACATGCAGTTTCTGCTGTCTTTGAGACGAGGCTCCGTCCACGGGTTATTGAACCATATAAGGTCGTGGCCAAGCGAGGCCTAGCTTATACACTGAACCTTCCGAGAAGGATGCGCACCCATTCGGTGCTCTATGTGGGCTTGCTTATGCCGTACCGGTATCCGACGCAAGTGGACGCGAAAGCGTTGGCGCCGCGTTGGCTTTAAAGGCGCTCCGCTACCCAGAAGTTAAATAATCAACTGGTTCCGAGCACGGAGCGCAATAACTTTCGTTTCCAACGGCACATGGCGCTCCACCGTCGCACGAAGTGGCGTATTCGCCTACTTGACGGCTAGAAGCCGCTTCGACAGAGCACGATAATCCTCAACGCGAGGCAGTCGGTGCACAAAATGCTCTAGGCTCCTGAGGTCTTCCGCACAGCGGTAGACGACCTCGAAGAGATGCTCGGCAGAGTGCCGATGACGACAGACTTTGTCCTCCAACGCTCGAAGAGCATCGCGAGTCACCGAGCAGCGATCGACCAAGTCGGCATCGCCCGCCGCCAACTCTTCTTGAGGAGAATGGTGGTGTTCACTACCACGTGGAACGCCTTGTGGGTCGACGTCGTCGACGGGGTTTAACCCAATATCTTGTTTAAGCTGCCACTTCGATAAGACTGCCCAGACGTCGTAGACGCTTATGATTCGAAGGATCATGACGCTTCGCGTCGTCTTGCGCACCGCGCTTCTCGGCAGTAGCAAGGGAAGCTGGACCATAAGCTGAGCTTTAGCTATGGCCCTGAGCTGCTGTAATCGTCAACTCACCCGTGTGAAAAAGCACAGAGCTCGCGGGAGCGTGATGGATGATTCCATGTGTCAGAGGGCGACAATACGCAGGAAGACGGAGTTGCGTCTTGAGTTTGGCAAGCTCAAATCTGAGAGGGCGCTCAATGCGCACGTCCACTTCCTTGGGCTTCGCTATTAGGTAGACAGCGAGGAAAGTTTCCGGTGCCACTAAACCCATCGCGCAAAGAGATCAATGCCATCTGCAGCGGTTTTGTCATGGGTGAGCACCACAGGGATTTTCCGCATTGCGGGAACAGGAGCACCTCCTTTTGCGCTCAAAGTTGAGCGCGGTACCAATCCGTTGTAAAAATAAGGGCTTTGCCTGCGGGCTTCCTCACTACCAGCTAGCCTGGGTGGTTTGCGTGTCGTAAGCACAGTGTTCATGGAGTGGAGAATGTTCAGGGAAGTCCATATGAACGTGAAGGTGTCTCAGACACACGAGCCTCGAATGAAGCGACAAGTAAATGTGAATTATGGGTATTCAAAATTTTGATAGGGGAGAGTGAAATGGGGTCACACGTAGCCTTTTATGAAAGGGCGGGTCACACAAGATGGTGTTGCCGTACATAGGTGTGAGCAACACAAGTTGGTGTAATCACTCAATGGTGTGGCTACACCGTAACAAGAAGCCACCACGTGAAAGGATGGCCAGTAGTAATGCATATTACTATGTTAGTTAGTTCTGCTAAATTAATTCAATATTACTATATTTATGAGGAAATCCTAGGGTTTTAGATATTGGGGCCTCTGCCGCAACTAAGACAATAAAATACAGTTTCGTTCTTGATCAGAAGTGATCGTTTGCCTGGATTAAGGCTTAATGGTAGGAAATAGCGGATTGCGATCTGCTACACTTGTACTGGCTCTTGGAGAGAACGTAAGGTCGGTGACCTTAGCTAAGCTTCCTGTAAGCACAGATCTACGGCAGACCCGCTGCAGGTTCAGCTACAAGTGCTACCAAGTGCAGATGGGGCGGGGTTGCAATGCCCTTGAAACAAAGAATGCGGATCAAGAAGCCCGCGTTTACAAATACACAGAGGTTGTTTTCGTACGCTGTGACCAGATGCAAAAAATGAGAGCCCTTGACGTGACAAGCTGCTTTGTTCGATCTGCCTTTTAGTTAAGGATCAATTTTGTTTAGACAAATACGAGATTGTCTATACGCTCTATCACTTCTCATGTAAAACTATTTCATTATCTGAAGTGCGGCTAGCCGCCCACGCGTACCGCATATCTATAATGAACGAGGTTCCACAATCTTCATCAATCTTGACGAGATGCTTAGGTACTTTTGGATGTTCGCGAATAGACGATTCTGCAGCAAACAAACATAATCTCACACAGACTTAGCGAATACCTTCCAGTTTCATGACCAAATATACACAAAGCACTCGCCTGCTCGCCTTTCTAGCAGCATATTCCTTGGCGCATTCGCCTGCATTTGAATATATGCTCGTTTTCTAGAGCCCCAGAATATAGTCCATTGATTCTTACTTCACGTCCTGTGTTTTTAATGTCGACGCAATCATTCCGGATATCGTGACGTAGTGAAGGTTCTTGCATTTTTCCGTATCAAATGGATTTCTAGAGCTGTAGTACTTGAGCCTATCTATTCTGGAAGAGCTCGCGTAATTTCATTGCCAGGTGGACACACAGTTCTTGTTTTATTTAAAATTTCGCCAGTGATTCAACGTCGAAGCAGTTGAATGAATCCTAAAGTACGCGATCTATAAGACGCTCAGTTTTTTTTTCTGCACGCATTTTATACTGCTAAAAATTTTGTTCTCTTACTTCGCATATTGCTGCACTGGCACGGAGACACTTACTGTCTTCAAGTTGTAATCTTGCGAGTTCATAATCTATACTACTGGGCTTAAAACCCGTTTGGAAGATCGTAGATCAGTAGTATCTTGATTCTGTCAGTTGTAATGTGTGATGTCGCAAACTTTGTTAATAATTCACAAGCGGGTCTATTTCGGCGTTCTAAGAGGAACCTGAATACAAGATCCGGTCCTAGATTGATTCTCTCTTTCAAATTATTTGATTGGATAAATGTAAGAAATCTTTGAAACCAAGCATTTCACGACGATGATGAAGCTACTGACTCGACCAGTGCTCTGTGTAGCACGCAAGCAATTATCCCCTGCATCCACAGCATTTTTTAGCTCTGCACGCGACCAGAATCCTAGTGTATTCTTCGATATTTCGATCGGTGGACAACCAAGCGGACGTCTTGTGTTTGAGCTTCGCGCCGACGTGGTACCCAAGACGGCTGAGAATTTTCGCCAATTATGTACCGGCGAAGCAGGAATCGGTGCATCTGGCAAGCCACTCCACTACAAGGGCAGCAAATTTCACCGCATTATTCCTAACTTTATGTGCCAAGGCGGTGATTTTACGCGAGGTAATGGCACGGGCGGCGAATCAATTTACGGCGAAAAGTTTGCCGATGAAAAGTTTGAATTAAAACATGAGGGTGCGGGTGTGCTTTCGATGGCCAATGCGGGTCCGAACACAAACGGCTCGCAGTTCTTTCTCACGACGGTAGACTGTCCCTGGCTGGACAAGGCTCATGTGGTGTTTGGACACGTCACGGAAGGCCATGACGTGCTTAAAGTCATGGAGGAACAGGGCAGCCAATCTGGTGCTACTCGGGCGGCCGTCGTTATTGAAGACTGCGGTGAACTTAAGTAGTAGACTTCTATCAATTCGAAGTAAATGATGTTTTACAGATTGTGTAAAAGTGATGAACTGGATCATTATTGATTGTTGTAAAAAGTTATGTTTGCGATAGCTAATTGAGTCGGCGATCTGAATAGTAATTCTTTCGAAATGCTGCAAAGTTTTAACCGCAGCCGATGCAAAGTCTGCGTATTTATTGGATGCAGCCGATGCTGGAGAATGTCAAATACTGCCATTCGTCCTTCTGTATCAACAATTAATGTTTGAGTAACTTTGGACTCATTTCTGAACGCAAGTTTAATGCTGTGTAACGAAACAGGAGGTCCCAAAAAATTGGTAGTATCGAAAGAGATGCGTTCGATGACACACTGTTGCAAGCAATCACGGACTTCAAGACTCCACTGATCCGTTACATCATGGTTTGCTCGCTGATCCTTGCAAGAATATAATACATGAACCGAATCAGGCGAGAAATTTGTGAAATTTGCTACACATTGGTTAAGGTTGAAACTGCTGTTTAGCCTCCATTCGTCGGTTGGTGTTATTTCTCTACGTGAGACCTTCATGGCGGGATCAGCAAATACTTTGACCATATATCGACCAGTGCCATACCTAGCTAAACCAGTATACTTGATCACGATGAGGAAGGGGTGAATATCCATGTCACTTGATTCCATCACTTCAACAACCCCAATTTCCATGGAGATCTCTTCACCTTGTGTCAAATTTGATATTGTCGGGAGCAAAGATAACATTTGGTAGACCACATGGTAATCCCTTTTCGTTCTCCTCGAAGAATGAGGCTTCAACTTCGTTCCTGAACGTTGACGTAGCGTTTTCTTGTAAGCCCGAGATCTCATTCGCTTTGAAGGAGTTTGACGTGCTTGAGTGTCACAGACTTGAGCTTCTTCAGATTCTAATAACGCATTTGCTATGTTCACGAGCATTACACGACTGTCATGTGTTACGATGAGTGCAGAAAATGAGCCTACAAAGACTATTCGAACAAATATCGCGCCTTCAATTCGCGCTGACTTAACTTGTGATAATGAAAGCTCAAATTTTGATAACAGGCGCATGTCACAAAGATCAAACACTCGAAGCGATCCATCGCTGTATCCAGCCATGACCATTGACTGGGGTACGCCATTAGTCGAGAACGGATTGACTGCAAAACAAGTGCAAGTTGCTGAGTCAGTTTTAAACGCTGCAATTTCTCTCGCTATTTCTGGAAGCCATACGCGAATAGCGTTGTCATTTTCAGAAGTCAACAGGATCACGGTGCCGTCAAGGGCCCAGGAGGCATTTCTTATAGCAACAAAAGGCTGGCTGTGTTTGATATTGCCCCTAGCCGTTTCTCGAAGCACTTTTGTTGTCGGACATGCTTCGAAATGAATGAGGATAGCTGTACCATAATTCGTCGTGGCAATGCCAACATCACGAGCGGGATCAACTGAAAGACCTCGCAGTAACCCACCATCAGGCAAAGAAATTTGACACATAAGCGAAACACCTGCTCGAGCCAAACGCTGCCAATCTATTTGAATACGAGTTGAATATTTTGTTGATAACATGGGGAGTGCATGAACAAAAAGTACGCTCTCTGATGTTGAACCGGTAATAATCAGAGACTTTTCAGCCGTAGTCACCCACTCCATGACCTCGACCAAAAAAGAAGATACACCCTTTTGATCATTGACCTGGTTATTGCTACTCTTGAATTTGATAGGAATTAATAGTTGAGTCGTCGCAACAAAAGATCGGTGCTGAAGGTCATAGAAGTAGCAGTATCGATCGTTATCGATGCCTACGAGGTAGCGCAATTGATCTGATTGTCCTTCCTTGCTAAACAGACTAAAGAGCTGCACTTGAGTGGGAAAAGCATTGATTAACGGCTCAATCACAGCTTCTATCGCGATATTAGAATCATCTTCAATTTCATTTTGATAGACCTTAACGGTGCTGATACTGCTGAGCTCAGTAGATAGTAAAAGAAACTGAGAATCGGAAGTCGCTATGATTTGTCGAATGCGAGGTAGTTGCGTTCCGCCTGCGCTTATACTAGACCAAATAATACTTCGTTGCCTTAGGCTAGCGATTACAACTCCGGTTTGGGATTGTTCGACCTCACAAGCCATACAGACCACTTTGTCGATTCTTTTTTGGTTGAAATTCTGAGCAAATGCTAGACAAGTGACAACACGAGTATACGGAAGTAGATTGATTCGAATCTTTTCACTGTCACACTGTGCAATTATGTCCTCATGAGACGATGTCTTGACTTCACGATTGCCGGCAATGGATCGAATTATCACATAGTCAAATCGAGACGAAATTGTCGCGACATAGGCACCATCAGGTGACAGTTGCAGTAACGCAATCTCATTTGATTCATCCATCTCAGGTTGGCTAGCATCATCATAAAACTCTTGTTTACCCGTAGCAATATTCTCCACCACTAACATTGAGCCAGTGGTCATTAGCAATTTACCCATGGAGTAAGACCAAGCAAAGTTAGATGAACAGAATCCGCAAATTGTTTGAGAAAGAACAAGGTCACCAACGAAACTTGTAGTTGTATTCACAACCGTTGTTGGACATTCGACTTCTTGCACATTCGTTGAATCGCTTGATAGACATGTAACCTCTCCACGCTGTGTGATTTCTAATCCTTCAAAATTAAGCTGAAAAGCTTTCAAACCTAGTCTAAAGTTTGATATCTCGGTAGGTCTGGCTTGCGAATTTGCCTTCTTACTCGAATTTTCGTCGGATACAGCAAGCGTTTGCTCTTTGTATCCTTTCGTTGTTTCTTTGAAAATGAATGAGTTGACGCAGACTCGCCAGATGCTAATTGCGTTCAGGTTTCCCGTAGCGACAAGGCTTTGACCATCTCTTGTAATAGCCAAGTTGTTTACTCTCCCAGTGTGACCGAAAAACGACTGGTGAATTCGACCTCGTCGTCTTTTGTCATCCCAATCCCAAACACGTATTGACCCATCCATTCCTCCAGATATCATGTACTTTTCATTGAAACTCATCAGAAAAGAACTTATACCATTTTGACCACAGAGCGACAACGACTGAACCCATTGACGTTCTGGCAATGAGAAAATGTGAAGTCGATCTCTCATCGATAATACAAGCAACTCGGACGAGTTGACATTGAAACGTGCAACTTTTAACGTGTCCTCTTGTCTCTGCTTTGGAGGTTGGATTTTAGAAATGACACGCAACGAATACGGATTTAGCATCACTATCTCTCGATGATCACTACTGATGAATGCTAGCCATTTACCGTTGTGGCTCACTTCGAAATGACCATCCTCAGGATCAAAGTCGGCAAGTACCATCTTGAGTGGCACGTACTCTTGATCTTTGGCATCGTACAAGCACAATTGTCTGCCTTCTCCTGAATTAAAAAGGTGGTGCGCACTAACATCGAATGCGATGTGCCGAATTGCGCTTTGATGCTGCTTAAGCTCGTGCACAAAGCTTGATTGCGATTCCGTTGTACCAGTCTCTGATACCTGATGAACGTCAAAGATTCGCGTGAAGCCTGAATCAAAACCCACTGCGACAATGCCACAATTAAGAGGTGAAGCAGCCAAACTTGTCACACTTTCTTGCTCAAAGTAAAACTCATACAGCTGCTGTCCAGACGACGTGTCCCAAACTCGCAAAGTGCCATCCTCTGATGCAGTTACCAGCTCACTTTTCGAAGTACTCAATTTTGCATCTTCATGTAACAAAGACGCAGGAGGAGATTTCCAAGGTGTTGTTGTCATGGCCGTGATCTTTTTCGTATGACAACGCAGCAAAGTCGTGTATTCTTGACTTGAGATATCCAAAACTCCAATTGCATTATTACGACTACCAACGAGCACTTTGATTCCATCTACTGATACATCTATGCACTTGATCCCAGCTTCATGTTGAGCTTCTAAGAAGAAATCCGAAAAATCTAACGGCCACACACGAAGAAAACAGTCATCCGATCCAGTAACACAGAAGCCTTCATTAATCGATAAACAGTTGATTTTGGCATCGTGAAGCTGGTATACACAAAGAATATCTTTGGAATCATAGTTGATCACTAGTAAAGTACCGAGGCTTGATGAAACGTACAATGGACGCACTGGGTGGATATTGGATGGATGTGTCTCGAAAAGCGGATCAAAACCGATATCTGTAAACTCAATTCCACGAGAATACTCGTTTAAAATTACAGGAGATCCGGTTAGATGGCCTGACTTCGAATTCACACGCCAATAGCGGATATTTTCACGACCACAGGATATGAGGTGATAATGGTCTTGCTGTTCGTATGGAGAGAAGGCAATCCGATTTATTGGAAAATCGGATGTTTGTCGTGCCAGTAATTGTACTACAGAAGGTGTGCTTCCAAGAAGATTCAAGCAATTCCAAATTAAAATTTGCGTACGAAAGCACTCGTCGCGACCCACAATGCAGAGCATCAACAGATCTTTTGAACGAGGTGAAAAGCAAAGCACATCTACACCTTTTGATTGAGCCTGGACGACGGTGATACATTCGCGACTTGTGAGATTCCAGAGCCTAACGGCATTTTGTTTTGTCTGTGATGGCAATTCTGCAGATGCAAGAAAACGTCCGTCGCTCGTGATCGCAAGAGCGCAAACCGCAGAATTGTGACCATACATGAAAGATTCTCTGGTTGTAGAAGCTAAATTATCTATTATATTAGATCCCTTTGCAGAATCAAAGGTCTCCATTGAAACATTTTTTTCGTCAGAAAATTCTCGATAGACGATCGTTGAGTTATTAGCATAGACATATGCCGAACCGTCAGGAACCCAAAGAAGCATGCGAAAGTAGTCATTCGAGAACCCGATAATACGCTCAAGTTTTAAGATTGGATCTGACTTATCAGCCTTTGTGGGTGACGAGATAAGTTGTGTGCATGCTTCTTGCTGTGTACATTTAGGTGAATAGAATGCCCGATACGCAAAGTCAATGAGATCTGGATTCTCTACCATCTCCTGATTGACTGGCATCACTGTGTTGGATGAAAACGGGTCTTTCTAAAGGGACAAAAGCATTTAGATAGGTACGATACGCCGACGAAAGTATCTGCTGGTTCAAACCTTAGACTGAATATCGAATGTATTGAACAGAACGTCTGATGTGGCGCTTGGCGCGTCGTATGATGGCAAACATTTTACAATTCTGGTGTTGCTGTGAATGAACTTTGTGGATTTGTTTAAGCTTTGGCGCTTTGGATCTAACGTGGGCGATGCAGCAATCCGAAGATCCTCCTGCTTAGTCAGATCAAGAAATTGGTGATTGACACCGTCGACATCATCGGAAGGTATGATAATCCAGCAATTTGGATGCTTTGAATCGCTTGCAAATTGTAGTGAGCTGGGTAAAGTCTGACAGTAGATCTTACGAGGACGAAAACATGAACGAGTATAAATTGTAATGTTTGACATACCTCGGTTGTGAACAGCGTAGCAGACACAAAAAAGTTGCGAAGATTCATTGAGGCACACAAAGTTACAGCCTACAGTGAAGGTTGCGTTAATAATTAATGATGCACTGGAAAACTCTGCCCGCTATACCTTCAGATGACGATAGGTATCTCGTGCGTGCTGGGTGTAGGAATGACGCTCCAGTAAGCGCACCATATCGACGACAACAACAGTCCATCTGGTATCCAGACTAATCCAACAGCATGTAAGAAGCACCAGAAAGCAGCATTGTTTAAACCTAGCGGTTCACAAACCTTAACGGTACTCTCAGTACAGTCCCAGTACCTCGAAAAAGCTCATAAATGGAGCTCAGGGTAAATCGCAATGGTGTCTTTTTGCTCGTGACAAAATCCAGATGAATTGTCATCGGAAGATTTTTAATTCGTCGAACTTGGAGATATACGTAGCGCCCAGTAAGACCAAGTCCGTGAGTTCCTTTTGAGATATCCCTGCAATTGTACACACGTCAGAGCTATCTTATCAAATGCTAGCAAGTAAATTTAACGACCTTGGCACTCGAAGAAAGTTTGTAGCGGCAATAGCTCCGCGAATCTTGAAAATATTCTGATGAATATGTTTATCCTGAGTCTGCTCAACGTGGCCTTGTGTGTGCCAACCAACGTTGTTATGTGTCATTCCATACTTAATCACTTCAACAAATGGTTCCTGCCACACTTAAAGGAGCAGGAATTATAGATGCTATCCATGTAAGTTTGTAAAAATATTACCTGGCATTACGGTAGCATGGTTTGAAGATGTCATCAGTAGCGCTACTTTTTCTAAGCACGATAAAGTACGCGAGCTTTTCGATCCGACCTTTCGTCAGACATTAACAGACTGTCGATATACGACACTACATTCAGACAAATGCTCCAAGATTTTTCAACATTGCATTACCAGGTACACCAGTTGACATTTTTATTGAATGCGTTGGGCGGTAAACAAAGATCAGATTCTTTGCTTGTGAACGAGATTCTTATGACATCTCAAAACTAATATCGGATTTCACCACTTGACTGACTGACGCCTTGATCTTTGAGATGCGATTCAAGAAACTCGTATCACGTCATAACCCACGCATTATTAAATCTGCTCGCTCGAAATTGTCACTAGGAAGTAGAGTGTAAACGCAAAGCAGCCAATGTAGAACAATCGACGTTGTAGGACGCCATTCTCCGGAGTACCGGTTGACGACCCATGTGCTCCTTCGTGAATAAAATGTTTCCTTTTAACAGTGTGCTGAACCTTACAAGATTTAGCACATGTCGTCCTAGAGCTGATTGGAAGATGTCTAATTTTCAGATGCGATCGCAAATGGGCATTAGTGTGCGATCGTTACAATTCAAGTATGATATGTTGAGCTAGATACATTCTGCATTTGCAGAAAACGTTGGTAATTACATGTACTGCTAGCTTTATCGAGACGGATATGACAAAGTTCTCGATTCCAAAGGTTGCGATGGAAATACAATCAGATGTCAATCAAAGAAAAACTGATTTACTTTCTCTAAGTGCGGTCGGTATTCGCACTTGGAGATTATTGAGCACCTGAAGTCGCGCCAAGCTATAAAGTTGCCTAAACAGGTATTTGCGGAAAAACAACATATTTCCATGGACTTTTGCTAATCGTCCGGCCTCTTGAAGGTAATAGGGGATAAAGATAAGGTGAGATGAGACGCGGTATCCAAGCTAGGTGGTCGCGTGAGAGAATGGATAAGTATGTGCTGTCCATATTTGTGCTGTTGTTTTCAAGCACCGAAATGTTCAAACGAGCCCAAACATGCATATTGCGTGCGATCACAGTTGTTGTTTACCCGTTAAGAAAGAGGCGAACAAGCGGTTCAGGAATTGAGAGCTTTGATTTTGGATAGAGATCAATAATTTTCATGAAACGGTATTCGATTCCGTCTTCATAGAGAGTACTGTATAGATACGCTCACTTAAAAATCTTTTGGCCTGTCTTGACTCTTTCGTATCGCAATAAATCCAGGGCAGTAAACCTCAGAGATGATAACGAGAAAGAAAACGATCTTAAAGCTGTCAAGAAGTACTGTGGTCTGCAAAATGCGACTCGGCGTGAGCCTAATAGCTTAAAGCTATTGACTTTTGACATCAACATCCTGTGTTTGGGAGGCGATGGAAAGTTTTCAAACATTTAGGAGCTTCGGCAATTACGTTCGACGCGCTACAGCCAAAATATAATATATTTTTATAAAAAAAATATAACACACATCTGACGACCGGTTACGATATTGTGCGTGTTGTGACGGAAACACTGGTTTAAGTGTCAAAGAGTAATCATTTATCTAGCAAGATTTAACAAAAATCCTTTGAAATGGAATTTGATATTCATAAGTATTGTCGATACGATGCGATTCATAGGTTGAGATTGTTTTGTACATCTATTTGTAGGACAAAAAACGATTCACGCAATTAACCTCTTCGAAAACATTGACGCTTCACAAAGTATGGTGCTAGCGTGAAACTGCGATAGGTTTGGTGTAGGAACGTAAGGTCACCCGAATCAGACAGCAACGATAATGCTTAGTGCTATCAGTGAGACCGCTAGAAATGAAACTAGCGATCGTGTATCAGTGTTTAAGTGATACAGTCTCTAATTCCGGCTCATTATAGCTGTAATTTAGATGCCTTACTAGAACAAATCTGTGGCGACCCTGAGAACGAGCATGTGTTGCGGTCTCCAGAGCTGATCCAATGGAGACAAACTAGAGATGCTTTGTGCTGCGGTCTACGGGCATCTTCCTTAAACGACAGGCGGCATTAGTCGTGAATAGAATGAATAGGCTCGAATTTAATAAAAGCCCATTTCTGTAGCGACATATCGGTACTGCTGAGTGAGCACAATCGTATGACACGGCTGATGTGCGGGGCAGTAAAGCTCCGCGCTTTAGCGGCGAAAGATGCTGCAAGAATGTTTCATCAGTACGATGGTACGCTTGGGGCATTAAACTTCTATTTATTGATATCCCCGTGCTCTGTGGATCCCTAAATTGTCAGCTCGACAAATTGCTCCAGCAATAATACATTTATTAGACGACGAGTTTGATTCTCTATAAAATGCTAGTTGTAGTGTGGCCCACATCAACCTCTTTTGTTTCTGTATTGATCTATTTAAAACAAAAAAAGTCGTAACAAGTTCACACGAAAGTCTACATCGCTTCGACTTCGCACTCAAGTATGGAGGTCCCAGCGCCGTTAATGAATGGATCTATCACTTATCTCGTCATGACACTACTCGCCTGCTTTGCTGGTATTGGAATGGGCGTAACAGGCAAAATGAGTCGCGAAAACTCGTCGTACGTTGGGTCGTTTCATCAACAGGTTGATGTCTGATTTCTAATTATTTGGATTTCTGCAGAATTTTTACTCTGCTGGCCTGTATGACCGGTATCTGTCTATGGATGTTTTGGTAAGGAAGCGTTTATCATGGCAGTGCCGAATCTTTATATGATATTTCGTTTTTTATTGCTATGTAGGGCATGCTGCTGGCTGCATCAATGGCACATTCTGGTAGTTCCCACATATGGCGCAGAGTAGAAACATTAAACATTGAACAGCGCCCATGATCGTCCGATCAAAAGTATCTGATAGTAATGAATGACTGAGCGGATTATAATGGCAGGTTAATAATATTGGTTTTTGCTATCATATCATTGTTATAATGTACCTATGCACTGATATCCTAAAACTTAAACTGTCCAGTTTCGCTTCCTTCAAAACGGCTGAAATCCTTATCTGGGGTGAGATTTAATTCTTCATCGTCTTCACCGTCGAAATAGTCGCGGATGATACGCACCGCTTTTTCGTAAATATCTACATCAAAGCTCAGTCAACGTGTTATAATTCAATACTCAAGTCTACACACCTTGTTCTTCGTGAAATTGCAATTTCTGAATCAATTCAATACCATCCGCTTCCTCAATAAAAAGCACCATGCGATTCTCCATATCTGTGAGTGAAGTATCTGCTTCACCAGCCTGAAGGATATTTTCCAAAGCATCCAGTGACACATTAATTACACTTGGATCGGGGACGTTTAAGAGTGCGATCAATGGAGGAATGCATCCTATAGACAACAATTACACATCTACATCAACCTCTTCAAGTAGAACTCCTCACTTTCCGTACCTTGTTGTACAAGATATTTAATCTGTTCAGTGGTGCCTCCAGACGTGGCATTCGATATCGCCCACGCAGCTTCTTTTCGAACGTCAAATTCACTTAACATAAGTACTGATAGCAACAGCGGAATGATATTGGCATCAATCACTTCCTGGATTTGACTTTGAGAACCAGCCGTGATGTTGGATATTGTCCAACAAGCTTCTCTTCGAATGGATTGTTTATCGTGTTTGAGCAGCGATACGAGGCGCGGCAGCACGGCTAAATCCAGCATCAATTGCGTCTGCTGACTATTCCCACAGACAATATTACCAACTATTCGCAACGCTGGCATTTGTATGGATGCCCGCGTATGCCCCATGAGATCGACAACACGACTGCAGACCCCAGCATCAAGTACAGCCTGAACATTGCCATCTGAGAGGTACGAAAGCGTCCAACATGCATCCGAAATTATCTCCTCATCCGGCGAATGAATCAAATGTGGAAGAAGTTCTAAAGCAGGACTTACGAGATCAAAATCTGGTCGTGGTTTACCTCGACAAAAATTTGACAGCGTCCACGTTGCGTTTCGAAGAAGTGTGCACTTTCCAGACGATCGACGCAATACTGTCAGTAGTGGCATCATGGCACCAGCAGAAAGCACTACGTCACGACATTGTGGTGAATCGCCTGCAATGTTTCCAAGCGCCCATACTGCCTGTTCACAGACGTCTTCATTCGGCGATAGCAACAGCGTACATAACAACTCCACTGCACCACATCGAATGACAACCTCGGTGTCTTCTGTCGTCGCGGAAGCAATATTCGTTAGTGCCCACGCAGCTTCAAATTGCATCTCTGGTCGATCATGCTGCTTCAGAAACTCGACAAGCAATGGTACGACGCCTAAGTTAATTACTTCTTTGATTGGCGGGTTCGATTCTGCATATAAAGTATCGGCATGTCAAGAATAAAACCCAGTATTCGTCTTGCCATAAAAAATGGCATACCAAGCGACAATAGTCTTCTGAGCTTTGAAACAGCGTTCGACTGTTCCATGAAATCCAGTGAATGAATCATTGCTGCAATTTTCGGTAACTCCGAAATCTACAATCCATTAAAGACCATTCATCAGTCAAATAAAAAACACAGGTACGTTATAACCTGTTTTCAGTCATCATAAAGCGTACGCTGACGGCATTTAACGAGCACATGGACTCGTCCGGTACTGTAAATATTGTCTGATTTAGCATCTCTGCATTCATCGAAATTGCATCATTGCCGTCTTCCTGATTGTATCATATCCAGTTATGTTATAAGGTCAAACCAAGTGACTTGGATCTAAATTTCAAGAACCTTAAAATTCATGCGTCGCCGTTGATTTAGTCGCTCGTCACGCAGCGTCTTGCGAATTTGAATCGAAGTGTCCTCTCGTCTCCGCCGTGTCTCATCTGCATCAATGCCTTTCTTAAAGTTACGCATACGATCCGCGATGCGTGTTGATGATGAGAAGCTGCTTGTAACCATGATGTTCAATTGACTGGCAGTGTCAATTATATGAGTGTAAATTACCGGTAAGTTATATGTGCGTCTGCTTAATTCGAATGACGTCAAGTATATTCACTCCAAAATTTATCCAAATTTATAGATTTTAGCTTTAGCAATTTTATTTTTTCCATGCAATCTTGTTCTGCATGAAAGGGATAACTCGATTTTGTCGTCTGATACTTAAGTGCTTGGTTACTTTGTGCTAGTAATGCATGCAGTAACAGGCTCGAAGCTTCATGCGATGATATGGGTGTCATTGGGAACTCAATCCTGGTAGCTGGACCAGCGATGATGCATTATATAATAGGAAGATATTCTTATTGATCAAATAAAGACCAACTTCTTTGATGCGTGATGAGAGTGTGAATAACTTTCACTCCAACACACACGCTTTCACTAATACTAGTAGTTGCCATTTTAAATCCACGCAGAAATCGACGCCTCGTTTCGTACACAAATAATTGCATTGCGATGTAGTGTTACCCCATATATATAGATCAGCCGTCGATACCAGTGCCTCATATATGCAGAAGCATGCAAATTGCTGGCGTCGCCATAAGACCCGACATCGTTGTCTCTTGTCGACTCGGTGTAGCAGGTTTTACGAAATCGTAGCATTGGATCCGCAATCTCATATTCTCCGTCAAGGTTGCAAGATGTTGATACCAGCAGATTTTCGTAATTTTCAAATAGGTATTTTAGGAATCTGGTGTCCGTTTTAACCGCGTTGTAATGGTGCCTCAAGAGTTGTATATTGGGAGCACACAAGATTTACCTTTCATAATAAAGCATTGCAAACAACTTACATTGGCTAAAGCCTCATTCGAATCCTTTCAAGTCAGCGCATTACAACTTGATATAAATCTTTATTTTGTGCTAACATCTCATCCAACTTCAACGTAGGGTGCTGACGATCGACTGCTCCAGGATCCAGCGATGAATTTTGATGGATAAAAGACCATCATTGTCTGGCAACATGCATAATTGTCAGAAAATTCTAGTGGATACTTTCGAGCACAGCACGCCACTTCAGCTACTTAGTTCATGCATCACCTTTTTATCCGCCATAGGGGTGAATCTCAGAATTGTGACAGCAATTGCGGTAACCTGACTGCGTTCGAGTGTTGTAAAACACGCCGTCGAGTATGCCAAATGTCAACGACTAATACTTCTTTAAAAATTGCCGTGAGCTATTGTCACTGACTGATGGTCTTTCTACACAGTGCAGATGAATCTTCGTTTGTGAGTGGTACCGTGTGGAACATGCCACCCCGTTCATGCTGTGTTGTGGTCAATCGATGATATTTTCATTTTATCACTGCTCGAGTCCCAATGATCGAACCGCTATGGTCAAGAATAGGAATAATTTGGAAGTGCACGGACTATATTTTATGTCATAAACTCAAAGTGCCAGTTTAAAGCCTTGAAGCGCAGCAGCTGGAAAAGCAGTTTCAGTTGAGGATTCTTTGGAAATTTACATGACCTCCTCTAGTATTACTCTCTGTCTGTCAGTTGATGGTCACGATGGCTGAAAATGGAACGTTACCTGTATTTTTCCGTCACTTGCACGAAATCTCCTTGCGTACACCTGTATTACAAGTCAACGTTCTTCACCCATTCTGCTTCTTTCCTCATGGCTTCCAATAACTGCAGCTAGTCAGCGGTTAATCTGCATAATCACCAAATTGCTGTGCACGGACCAAATGCTTCCTGTGTATACGCCACCTTACCATTTCGAAGGCATTCTGGGAGATATATGACATGCCACCATGATAACCGGGTTGATGAGAGTCGTCCACAATCTTTTATTGGGATGCGCAGACCCAACTTCGAACAATATCAATATCCTATTTCCCTCAGCCGGCAGTCCGTGTCCGTGTCCCATTTGCTGCCATGATTTGAATAGCAAACTGCAAATCTTGCTGTATTGATTGCAGATTATGTAAAAAAGTCAGATTGAAGTTTAGATCTTATGTGGTATCAGAATAGCCGTCTACTTACTCTAGATCCGGTGCGCTGGATACTGATGGGTCATGGCTGAATGGAACACTTTTGAATTTCGAAGACACTCAAGAAAGGAGCTGCTTGACAGGTGTATTGAAGCATCGTTTCATCCATATTAATGCCTGTGCAGGTGGCATAAAGGTTCCTTTTGCAATTTCGCTATTCATCACGCATGCAACATACATCAACGCATCTGACTAGGTGGTCTAGGGAATTTTTTCCTCAATTTTGATATGTTACCAGGCGACGGTAGACTGTATGGAGGGCTTGATCGACCATCTCTTTGATTAAGAGTTTGAGTAATGATGAATGTTGATGGTTTCCCTTCATTGCTTCCAAAAAAGCTCGGACATCGTCGTTGTTAGCTCACGCTCATTGTCAAACAGGATATCCTTAGATGCCACGATATCTCCCATTTGATACAGTCAACGGTTTTGTTTTTCGTTTTCTCCTCATTGGGAGCAACCAGTTGACGCGTGTGAAATGATCCATTGCCTGAAAAACTCAATGATAGTCGACATCTGGAGTTGCTTGCATGACTATCAAGTCAAACTTTAGCTTCCAGAATGGTTTCACTGAAATGATGATGATGTCTTTAACAAACTGGGCAAACTGTGCACATTTTTCGATCTGGGCCTTAAAAAGCTGTGTGAATGAATGAATGATGTAGGTAGCACATGTAAAATTGATCCCGGGGTCTCGATGAAAATTTACTCCTAAAATTTGGTTGGCTCATATCGCCACCCAGTTCAAACTACACTACAACCAAATGACGTGTCATTATTGTGTGACGCCCACGAAGCAACAACATGAGTTCAACGGTGCTTCAATGGTCAAGCATTACGTCAAATCTGATGAGCTGGTATTTAAACAGCACACATTACAGGAGCCCATGAATGATGCTCAACTTTGGTGATGCAAATATGGGTGTAATATTTACTTGCACTGTGTGGTCTCTCTCTCGTACACGCAGGGCTGCGTGGCAGCTAAGCTATCTCTTCCTTTCTTCTCAGCGTGACTAAGGTAGCGGACTTGTACTGCTCCTGGTGATTTTTGGAAGTGCGTTCAATATCAAGCTAACCACTGATCAAGTATGTTAGCTTGACAACATTATCTAAGAATAAAATCTTTGCGACGTTTGATTTGTATACAGCTCCTTATCCGATTTCCATACCCGATATGTTTTTGAGCTTAACTTGATCATTGTCGCCAATTTCACTGCATATGCTACTCACCGCTTGCTTCGATAAACTTAACTCGTCACTGGTCGCTAAGCCCCATTGTCATCACCTTGTCCTGGGATCTGTTCCTGACGGAAATATATCATCAACACGAAATCGGGCAACTTCATTATATTAACATTTTTAGCTTGAGCTGATTAAGAAATGGTCGACCGACAATCTATCCAAAAATGGCTTCACAACTTGCAATTATTTCTAGGGAGCTCTGCTTGCCAGGTTTTAAACGTAACTTATCAAGTCGGACTGCCAATTTTTTCGTGTTCCACAAGCTCAATATTGAATCTCCACCGTGATTCAAAGTTAAGAGAAAAGATGTTTGAGCAGATTAGTGATCTTGTCTACTCAACCTTGTTTGCCTGCTATGCGCTATATTGGCCGTCTTCTTCCGTGCAAGGCACGACGCAGGAGTGGTGTGTGAGAGCAAGTCTCTCCATTCGACACCCACAGTTTGTGTTCGAAAAGCCGAACGGCAAGTGGCGTATAGTTCACGCATACAATAAGTTCGCTACTACCAATCCGAAGCAGACACCGATTCCTAGGAAGGATGTTATCCAGAACAATATGGATGCAGTGCACAACTTGGTCGATGGGTATTATCAATTGCTCGTGAGAGCGAGTGATATTCCGCTGACAGCGGTAAGTACTTTGAGCGGCATGGTCTGGGAGTGGCTGGTGATGCCCCAAGGGTGTCAAATGAACCGGCAAAAAAATCACATACCTTACAATGGTATCCGTGCCAAACGTGACGCAGGTTGTTCAGGCCCCACCGGGCGTATGCACAGAAATACTTTGACGACCGTAGTGCGGAGCACGGGGGGAAGGATGTAGAGAACCGCATCGTCCATTTTAAAGCAGTGCTAGAGTGCATGCTCACGAATAAGCTGTATGCTGATGCAGACAAGTGCATCTTCGGCGCCAGAAAAATCTCTTCTTTGGGTGCTTCATCGGGTGGCGTAGCCTTCGAGTCGATCCTGCGAAAGTCAAGGCCATTGTGGACTGGCCGGTCCCAAAGAGCCAAAAGGACCTGTGCGAGTGGCTTGGCCTCGCCAACTACCTGCACAAGTACAGAAAGAATTATGCAGAAATAGCCTGATCATTGTCGAATTTTCTCAAGAAGGATGCGGAATGGTGTTGGGACACCGAGCATCGGAGGCTTTGACGGAATAAAAGACAGCCTCCTTCATGCACCAACACTGGCGTTGCCAGACCCCGATCGTTTTTCTGTGTCGTCTGTGACGCTTCAGACTTTGCCGTCGGCTTTGCACTGCTGTAAGCAGACGCCGAGGGGCGAGATCGGGTGATCGCGCTCAATCTCGCCAGCTTAAGGCTGCAGAGAGGAACTACCCAGTCTACGAAAAGAAATTACTTGCAATGAAGTATGCACTTGTCAAGTTCAGGGTGCACCTGCTCGGCTCAAAGCTGTTTGTGATCGACATGGATTATGCGTCATTACGCTCTGCGACTCGTCAACTCACCTCTCGCAGAGGATGGCCAGGTGGCTCTCATTGTTCGCAGAACTAACTTCGAGGTGTAATATAAGCCAGGAAAGTAGAATGCTTTGGCTGATGCGTAATCACGCAGATCGGATTATGAGCTTACTCATGTCATTATGGTGACGTTGACAAAGACGGCTCTGATCCACGCCTCATACCTGGGTGATGGTATGTGTGTAGCGCTGTTTCAGCAAGGATTTGAAAACTCGAACAAGAGATTCTAGGTGCGTTCGCGCGCACGGATACACCGATATTCGTTGAAAAACGGTTTGCTGTATTTTAGCACCGATTTAACGGATACGCCACGATATTTAGTTCCTCATGATGAGGAAGTAAAATATCGTATCCTCTATGAGGCCGACGACTGGTTATCTTGGTCGTGGGAAGACGTACAAATCTGTGAGTTGCCACTACTGGTGGCCCAAGCTGTACAAATAGATAAGCACATATGTGCTCATGTTTGAAACGTGTCAGAGGGTGAATCTCTCTCCGAATGCCGCGGCGCCGCGGCGCCGCTGACCAGTTTACCGGTACCCTCCGGGTGTTGGCAGTCTATGAGTATAGACTTTGTGTTTGGCCTGCCGAAGGACTCGGCGGGCATCACGGTCTGATAGCCTTTGTGGGTCCTTTGAGCAAGATGGCTCATCTTGCGGCAGTGCCGGACACCGTCTACGTTGTGGGTACAGCGACACTGTTTGTCGATCGCGTCTTTCGACAACATACTCCCGGAGTAAATTGTCTTTGACAGAGACAGCGCTTCACTGGGAAGTTCTGGTCTACAATCTTCAGGGTGCTGCGCACCGATTGGACTATGTCAGCAGCGAGCCATCCGCAGACTTCGCAGCGTCTGTGCTGGGTGGGTGCGCATCCATTTCGGAAGATTCAGCGTATACGTAAGGTTTCGCTAGGCCACACCCCAATGGTCCGATAAACTGTGGACGGAACTTAGACTTGAAGACAGCAGAGACTGCATGTATAGGAATATTTTTGGCACTAAAAAACCCAGGTCTTCGACCCTAAAATTTCCAACCTTTCTTCTGCTTCTTCCATCTACATATTCTTATCGCACGTCTCGGCTTTCAGCCATTGCATCACAAACGTGTCGAAGGACACTCAGTCTGGTTGACAGAAAATCATTGACTTCTTTACGGACTGTGAAAAGGCTGACAGCAGCTAGCCGTTCGGCTATTCCACCCTCACCAAACCCTGAGCCATGGGATGGTAAAGTTAGCGGGACGCGAGGGTTAACAAGCCCGTTCACGTAGAACGGCGTGCAGCCAATAGCTGAATGAACTGCTTTGTTCAGGGCAAACCGTGCGAGTGGCAGTATGGCGCTCCAGCGTCTCGGTGTTTTTTGTGGGCTTGCTTAAGTCGTACCGGGATCCGGCGCAAGTAACAGCGGAAGCGTTGGATCCGGGGCGACGCCCAAAGGCGCCCAGATACCCAGAAGCTGATTCAGCAACTGGTTCTGCGGACCATGTGCAACAATTTTCGTTTCCAGCGGCGCAAGTCGCTCCACCGTCGCACAAAGTGAGGTATTCGTCTGCTAAACGGCTAAGAGCCACTCCAAAAGAGCTCGATATTCCTCAACACAAGGCAGTCGGTGCACAAAATGGTTCAGGCTCTCGCGGTCTTCAGCACAGCGGTAGACGACCTCGGCAAGATGCTCGCGGGATGCCGATGACGATGGACTTAGTCCACCAAGGCTCGAAGAGCATCGCGAGTCATCGGACGGCGACCAACCAAAACATCATCGCCCGCCGCCGACCCTTCTTGATGAGAACGGTGGTGTTCACTATCACATGGAACGCCTTGTGGGTCGATGTCGTCGACATACTGGAGCCCAATATTTTGTGAATTGGCAGGGGTACCCAAACTACGAGAGCTCGAGGGAGTTTGAGATGCCACTTTGGCAAGACTGCTCAGACGTCGTGGATGCTTATGATCGGAAGGATCATGGCGCATTGCGACGTCGTGCTCCCGCGCTTCTCGGCGGTAGCCCGGGAAGCCGGAGGGCCATGAGCTTAGCTCAAGTTATGGTCCTGAGCTGCTGTGGTCGTGGACTCACCCATGTGAGGAACCACAGATCGTGCTGGAGCATGATGAATGTTTCCATGTGCCACAGGGCAACAATACGTAGAAAGACGGCGTTGCGCCTTGTTTTTGGCATTGGAGATGGTGCTCAACGCGCACGTCCACTTTCATGTGGCTTCGCTGCAAGTTAGACAGCGAGACAAGTTTCCGGTGCCGCTGCACCCATCGCTGAAATAGCTCATCATTGTCTACAGCGGTTTCACCAGGGGCAAGCCATACGGGAATATTCCGCATTGTGGGTACAGGAGCGCCGTCTCTTTGAGCTCGAAGTCGCGCGGTACCTATCCATTGGTATTTCTTGAGTACCAAAAAGCGAGCTCGGAGCGCTTCCCGCTGATCAAGCTCAGCTGGTGTAGTGGCCGGGGACTCGATTTTGTAGATTTTTTTCGAGTGATCACGTCATTAGCTTCAGTGGCGGGATCTGCCGAGCAAAATCCGTATTCCACACGAGGTCTAGGACCGAACGTGGAAACGAGCAGATGAGAGCCGCTTTGTGGGCAGTCTCTAACTGCCGCTCCTGTGCCTCATCGAGGCGATTGGTAACAATACCACTTTCCCCGGAAGTCGAGAGGTCGAAAAACGGACATA